ATTTATTTATTTATTTATTTTTTTTTTTTTTTTTTTTGTCTTTTTTCGTGACCGGCAACGGATCGCAACCCTCAGTATCGCACCCGTACCAGTCCGGGACCGGCAACGGGATCGCAACCCTCCGTGTTGCCCCCGCTCCTCGCTCAGCCAGTGAGCGGCCGGTCTGTATGTGGGATCCGAACCCTCAGCGGGAGCGCCGCCGCACTTCCCCAGCGGCGCACTGTAGCAGTGCGCCACCGGGCCAGCCCCAACAAATGTTTCTTGCTTTTCTTAACAAAGCTACCCAAATGCTCAGCAACTGTGGGTTTGTGTGCCGCCCAAACTTGTATTAGTCGGGCATTAGCTCCTTTTATATATTGGATGTCTCCCAGTATAGGGGAGATGTGCCTATATTGGAAAATAAAGTTGAATTTTAGTTATTTTTCACAACCATCTTGTAAACAGTGTAATTTCTGCAGAAGGAAGAAGTGGGGTGCATTGGAACGTTAGTTCACCCAGAAGTGTCCCAACATGGATTAGACCCTCTCTCAAAAAGAGGCTGACTTAGCCCCAGATTTTTCTGGGGCCTGCTTATGTTCATTGTGCCCTGTTCTTTCCAGGTAACAGGTGGGGGAAGGAAAATCTCTGCCCTGGGACAAAATTCCAGGCACCCTTATTCCCGTGTCTTTCCCCTCTCAGTCAGCGAATCATTCTGACTGAAGGACAGCCGTAGGCCACGTAGCCAGGAAGGGGTCACTTACATCTTCAAGATACTTCGGGGAAACTAAAGGAAAGCAACTAGATATATAAAGTCAACCACTCAGTTTTTATTATAGATAAATAGCAATATTTTCCCTGGAAGGATGGCTTGTAGTGTGGTGGAGCTACTGGAGGGCATTATTACTACGCTGAGTGCTGCGTTGAAAGCTGCGGGGTAAGACCCTCGCCTGCCGTTCATGCCGCAGTGTGCGTGTCTGTTTCCTTCTTTAGCTGCTTTGGCAGAGATCACTGAAATGGTGGCACAGCTCCACAGCACGATGATCAAGATGGAGAACTTCCAGAAGCTGCACGAACTGAAGAAGGATCTGATCGGCATTGACAATCTTGTGATTCCGGGAAGGGTAAGCAGCAGTGACCTCTGTGTGCATTTGAAGGAAAGCCAGAGAGCAGATATTTAAGGGACTTGAATTTGAGCCTTTTTATTAGAGACACTTCAAAGTCAAAATGTCCTCCTTCTGCAGTGGCTTCGCTGCACCTGGGAGACAACTGGAAAAATGTCTGGAACATTAGTGTTGTTCAGAATCATTGTGTTAGAAGGAGATAAAGTCATCTTCTGAGCTCACATTCTGCCTTTTCTCTTTATTAGTTGATTTGCTTATTTACTTCTTCCATTACCATATTCCAGAGAGGATTTGAAATAGTTTATTTTTTTTAATTTAAGTCAATGAAAATGGCAGATAAAGAAAAAATAATTGGGTAAAATAGTGATATAAAGCCAGAGAGAAAGTTAGTGCACGAAAGTATGTTGTAAATTCCCATGTCAGTATAAAGTGGTTTTTTTTTTTTTTTTTTTTTAAAAAGATGACCGGTAAGGGGATCTCAACCCTTGGCTTGGTGTTGTCAGCACCACGTTCAGCCAGTGAGCAAACCGGCCATCCCTATATAGGATCCGAACCTGTGGCCTTGATGTTATCAGCACTGCACCCTACCAAGTGAGCCACAGGCCAGCCTATAAAGTGTTTTTTTTTTTTTTCCTTTTTGTCTTTTTCCGTGTCCGGCAACGGATCGCAACCCTCAGTGTCGCCCCCGTACCGGACCGGGACCAGCAACGGGATTGCAACCCTCGGTGTTGCTCCCGCGCCTTGCTCAGCCAGTGAGTAGGAACCGGTCTGTATGTGGGACCCGAACCCTCGGCGGGAGCGCCGCTGCGCTTCCCAAGCGGCGCACTATAGCAGTGCGCCACTGGGCCGTATAAAGTGTTTTTTAAAGATGCATTTTCTATACTTAAATTTTAACTCAAAATTAAAATTTTAGCCAGAAAACAGTTCTAGGAAAGATGCAAGTTCATTTATGCTGTTCACCTACACAGCACCCTTCATTCAATGTGGGTCATTCACAGGGAGCCAGGTCTCACTACACAGACACACTCCTTCCAGGCCAAGGGAACATAAAACATGAAAAAAGCCTTCTTTTTTTTTTCGGTTCTCTTCTTAGCCAGCAGTCAAAACTACATTCAGTTTGCTACAGCTCATCACATCTCTACGGGATCTTTATCCCTAAGCTCCCCCATTTCAAGACCTCCATCACCCAGGTTCAGAAGAGAATTTTAGCCTCTGTGATCGGCCGCGTGCCTGCCTTAACCTTTCAGACAATTATCCGGTATGTTGTGGCCTTTCAGTCTTATGTGACAGGTAGCTGCCCTGGAAACTTTAAATCTGTGTAACTCAGGGCAGATGAGGAAGCTGCCTGTGCACTTGGGTATGTCTGTCAGAAAGTCTAATTACAGAACGACTGGAAAACAAGTTGTGAGAGGTTGTCAGAAGCGTTATGGGGTGAGTGCTGGGTGGAAATTAAAGCTGGGATTTGCTTCAGCTCTGTTGGTGAGAAAATCCTGCCAGGCCTCAGCACACAGCAGCCTCGTTCACCCATCCATGTGGAACGCTTAGAAAAGCCCTGTGGAATCCGTGTAATTTTCTCTTAACTTTGAGCGTTATAAAATATTTAGCATATTATGCTGCATGGCGAACAGACCATTTGTAAAGAATTTCTTTTTTGAGGACATGGTTTCCATGTGCAATGAGGAGAGCATTGGATTGGAGTAGGTGGCCCTGGGATCAAATTCTAGCTCTCCCAGAGCTGGGATGTTTCCCTACTAGAATGTGCTTCTCTCCTGTAACATGCGGAACAATATCCTCTTCCTTGTCGGTCATTAAGATCAAATGAGATTTAATATGTAAACACGACACAGTACCTAGTACTTTCCCTTCCCCCACCTACATTTCGTTGAAGAGACTACATGTACACTTATTACAGCGTTACTGAGTACGTCGTCACACAGCATTGTAGAAAACAGCATAGACATTTCCCCACATGCGGGCTCTGTCACCCTGACTGACTGGCCAGGTGCTCTTGGGTGAGTTTAATCATTTTTTTCCTTGGTTGCCTCACCTGAAAAATGGAAGTCATAATTTTGAACTTACAACCTGGCATGTGGAGCTAATCTGAGCACCTAGGAGGTGTCAGGTGCGTACTATGCTCAATAAAGGGAAGGCGTTATTATTTATAGAGGTGAAGCTGGAGTTGGGATGTTGCCGGCTGACCTCAGACCCATTATTTCCTGATCCTGTGGCTCATCAAGCCGCCTCGCATCCCCTCACTGTTTCAGGTCAACACTGAAGGAAATGGGGAGGAACGGGGGGGACCCTCAGAGGCAGCAAGTTTTGGAACTAGATAGTGGTGATGATTGCACAACATTGGGAAGGCAGCGAAGGTCTCAAGTGGTAAATTTTATGTTTATTTTACCACCATTGAAAAATGATTGGTTTTCATTTTTATTAAGTGCCTGTCCCCAAGCAATCCATGCCCTCAAGAGTTAATAGTGGGGGGAGGTGTCGCCATAGAGCTTGGGGAAGAAGCACATAGTCATCGTCCTCAGAGAGGACAATCAGCCTCAGTTTCTTCTGTTTGGCGGAGCTGATGGCAGCCCCCGAGGAGAGACATGATGCTCTGAGATGGCTTAGCACAGGGCCAGGGACCCAGGCTGGCGGCGAGTCCAGAACCTGTGCTCAGTGCCCTTGGTTGGCTGTCTCCACAGGAGTTCATCCGCCTGGGCAGCCTCAGCAAGCTCTCGGGGAAGGGGCTCCAGCAGCGCATGTTCTTCCTGGTAAGTGCGACAGCTGTGTGTCCTCATGATGACCCAGGGACCGGTGTTACCACGGGGCAAGCAGGGCCCAGGAGGCCGGGCCTCTCCACCCATGCGGGGGATGTGAAGGCAGGAGGAGCAGCGGGTGGCTCAGACCCGAGTGGCTGAGATCAGCACGTGGGCTGTGCTGGGTGGCCTCGCCGGGCGCCATTCACCGCCGCGCCCTTCTCCCATTGCCCTAGTTCAACGACGTCCTGCTGTACACGAGCAGGGGCCTGACGGCCTCGAACCAGTTTAAAGTGCACGGGCAGCTCCCGCTCTACGGCATGACGGTGAGTGCGCGGCGCCCTCCCCTGAGGACAGGGCCCACCGGGCTCCTCTCCAGGGCTCTGGGGACACTGCTTCTCCTGCACATGGGAACCTGGGATGCACGGGTGTGTTCCTTCTGGAGCCAAGTGGAGAGGCGACGTGACAGGGTGGTGTGAAGTCACCTCTGCCCGGCTGTGCCTGGCCCCAGCCCTGGAAGACGGGGCCTCCCATGCCAAGGACTAGTGGAGCCGCCTCAGCAGAAGCTGGAGCCGCCAGTGCCTTGTCCTTTGGGTCCCCAGCCTGTAACCCTTGGTCAGCATGGGATTGTGACCCTGGCTTTTGCCACCATTCTCCTTAGGGGGTGGAGGGAGGGGCATTTGTGGGCTCTGCCGAACAAATGCAGTGCACTTGGACCTTTCACCTCCAACCCTGGAGCCCCTTCTCCCTCTGCTGGGTCCCCCAGCCCTGCTCAGTGCTGCCTTCTCTTCAGTTGTCACGGTCGCCCATTCGGTGAATTTCTGAAAAGGGGCTGGGCCCCTGGCTTACTACTTAACAGTGACACTGTGCACTCTGGTTCCACAGATGGAGGAAAGCGAGGACGAGTGGGGGGTGCCTCACTGCCTCACGCTCCGGGGCCAGCGGCAGTCCATCGTGGTGGCCGCCAGGTAACTCAGAACCCCTCGAACTTTCCCCCTGCCCTCCTCCTCTGCAACCCTGACGCCCCCATCTGTGCTCAGTTCTAGATCAGAGATGGACAAGTGGATGGAGGACATCCAGATGGCCATCGACCTGGCAGAGAAGAGCAGTGGCCCCACTCCCGAGTTCCTGGCCAGCAGCCCCCCGGACAGCAGTGAGTGTGAGAGGGACACTTTGTGGCCACTGCAGGGCTGTCTGCAGAGGGCTGGGTGGTCTGGTTCACAGAGGGCAAGCTGGTGGGTGGGGAAGGGGCTCCCTGGCAGAGGCTGGTGGGCCAGGGGTACATTCCTCTTCCGTGGGTGCCACACACTGTGACTGCTGTGAGTCCCCCAGCCTTCCAATGCCTTCCTCATCCTTCCCTTTCTGCTACGGAAAAATGAGATGTTGCCTTTGCCCCCACGCCGCAGAGTCCCCTGAGGAAGCCACAGCAGCCGACCAGGAGTCAGAGGACGACCTGAGCGCCTCGCGCACCTCGCTGGAGCGCCAGGCCCCCCACCGCGGCAACACCATGGTGCACGTGTGCTGGCACCGCAACACCAGCGTCTCCATGGTGGACTTCAGCATCGCAGTGGAGGTATGGCAGCAGGCTGTGGCCGAGGGACACGTGAGGCGGGCACCTGGGCCTGCCCCTTGGCGGCCACACCCGCCCAGGAAGCATCAAAGCCCCAGGGGCTCTGCCGAGCCCACCCTGGTCATCCTGCAGGTGGAGCTGAGCTGTGTCATCCTTTTCACAAGATGCTTTTGCATTTAGGGGTTTCCATTAGTGTCTGCTGCTGCCTGTAGGATTAATCCTCCCTTCTCCACCGTTTCCTTTCCTATTATGGAGTTAGCTGTGGGGAGTCTGTTCGTACACGAGCAGTGCGTCCACATGCTGAGGGGCCTGGAGATGGACCCCTGATGCACAGCCAAGGGACAGGCAGCTCCAGGGGCCGTGTCCACTGTGTCCTGGAGCCGCCCGTGTCATCAGGGCACAGGGAGGCAGTAGAGGCTGAGTTGGAGGGTCGGAATTCATGAAAAACCCGAGGAGATGGGAGCACAGGGCAGGGGTCTCTCCAGGTGGGCTTCAGGAGTCACACCTGAAAGTTGGCCTAATGATGGATCTCCCTGGATCTCAGCTGTGAAGGCTTCCAGGCCTTTCCAAACCCCTACTCCCTAAGCCTTCTTAAATCCAAGTCGACAGTGACTTTTCACAGCACCTCAAGCCCAGAACACGAAACAGGAAAGTTTTCCTCATCTCTGTCAGTGGGACCTGCCCTGAGCAATCTGGGAACGTTTATACACTTCGTGGTGTTCTGAGTGAATGTTCACATTTCACTACGGAATCTTCACTGTGTTTGGCTCTTGGGGTTGCTGCCCCAGCCCCCTGCCCCTGCTGGGAATGTTCTGTAGCAGAGGCTGGACTCACCATCTAAAACGTAGGAAGGTCTAATTCCCAAACACACCTGGCCCAAATTGTCACATAAGAGACTGTGAGCCAAGGACAGTAGTGTGTGGGCTCTTTGAACCAACAGACTCTGTGAATGTGCCAACATCTCGTAGTGGATGGTCTCTAGGGAGTCTCAGGATTATTCTCAGAAGTGACCTTCACACTTCCATGGGCCTGCCTTGATTGGGTTTCCTGCTACAGCTGGTGTTCTAAACCCATGCCTGTTTCTGAAGGCATCAAGGGGACCCATCCAAGGTTCAGACCCTGATTCTCCCTCGGACACATCCCTTCCAGCTGGCCCGACCATGGGGCTGTGCACGCGGGATTGTGCACGGGGGGCTGTGCACAGGGGGCTCCCTCCCTGCGTGTGCCTGGCCTTCGTGTTGTGTGGATGTCCCCGTTCTGGACTCAGCATCCTCCATCCATCTCACATGTCCACTGGGTTCATGTGCAAAGCTTGCCAGTCGGAGGTTCCTTCCAGGGGATGGGGAGTACTGCAGTGAAAAAGGGGACCCTGTATGGAGGGGCAGGGCAGAGCCGATGACCGTCTCATAGGAAACAAACACTGCACCAGCTCAGTCCGTCTGTTCTGGTGAAGCCGGTGCGAGTGGCGCACGTGGAAGGAAGTCATCTTGCTTCCCTTCACACCGACCTTCACAGAGTGTGACTGACGACTTTCAAGGCAGGGGGCTGTTGAAGCTTCGGGTCTCTTTCTCAATCCCAATTGTCAGGGTCCAGGCGGCCCAGACACCTCCTCAGGCCCAGCTCTTTCTTTCCAGGTAACAAGTCTACACGGTTGCGATCTTTCGTTTAGGTGGTCAGGTGACTGCACAGAGCCAAGGTCAACAAACCGGCCACAGGCCAGATCCTGCCACCACCTAGTGTCCGTGGCCTGTGAACTAAAGTGTGGCTCTTACACTTTTAAGTGGTTATTACGTATCTCCTATTTTGCCTCTTGGCCCACAAAGACTATGTAGCCCTCTGAGGAAAGTGCCGACCTGGCAGAAAGCGTGAAAGCCAGCTGGTAGATCAGTGTGGTATGAGGGGGCAGGCGTGGCGCTGGCTGATCTGTCACTCTGCAGATATCCCTTCCTTGCCAGAACCCCCTTCCCAGGGTGCACTGCTGCAGCCTGGTGTCCATGGTGGGCCGCCCTGACTAGCCCAGGAGCCCTGGTCCTGTGAAATCCAGTCCTGACTCGGCCTGATTTCTCACAGTTCTGTGCCCCAGTTTCCCTCTCCCCTGCTGTCTCCTGCATGACTCCTGCAGGTAGAAATGAGTAAGGGGGAGGTTTGGGGACAGCTTGAGGACAAGCTGACCTCAAAAGAAAAGCTGTAGGCAAGTTTGGCTGGCACTGGGGCTCCCACGGCACATGCGGGGTCTCGTGCTCGGACGCAGCCACCAGAGCCAGTGGAGGGTTCTGAGGCGGAATGATAGTTGTCTCTTGAGACTAGAGATGGGAGACCGTGTATAGCTGGGAAGTGCCTCAGCAGACTGCACACACAGGAAGACCAGGAGGACGGCTGCCGTGACACAGCACCACAAATTGGTTAAACAGCAGCAGTCTGTCCTCTCACAGTGCTGAAAGCCAGAAGGCCAAAGTCAAGGTGCTGGTACAGTTGGGTCCTGGGAAAACATGTTCCCTGCCTCTATGCCAGCCGGCCTGCCTTGGTGTCCCTCAGTTTGTAGACATATCACTCCAGTCTCTGCTGCTGTGGTCCTGTAGCCTTCTCCCTGTGCCCAAATGCCCTCTTCTCATGAGGACATCAGCCATGCTGTGTTTAGGACCCACCCTAATGACATGTTAACTTGATTCCACCTGCAGAGACTCTATTTCCAAATGAGGTCACACTCACAGGTATCCAGGTCTAGACTTGAACTTATCTGTGGGGGCACAAGCCAACCCACAATGGGGACAAGTTATGGGTGCCCTGAACCGGGAGGGACCAAGAGGCCCTGTCAGGGAGGTGTGGGGGAGGCTGTTGTGCCCGGCAGTGGGGAAGTGGGTCGTCAGCTTGTTTTGGGTCAAGGACATGGACTCTTCTGAAAAGGCAGTAACTGGAGACCAGTCCAGGCTTGGAGACAGACCCAAGAGTCAGCCACACAGGCAAAGAGCTCAGCAGTGACAGGGAGAAGAGGATGGAGTTCAGGGACTGTGTGACGTGTGGAGATGGGGCAAGTCAGGGGGAGGCCAAGGGCAGGGCTGGAGACTGCAGAGGGCACTAGCACAGTAGGGGCAAGGAAGGTCCAGCGGACGCTTAGTAGGAAGCATGTAGTCCATCAGGACAGCAAGGCCAGAAAGACTTATTCAGAAAGGATGGAAGGTGCTGGCAGAAGTCAGAGTTCTAATGACCCTGCTTTGCAAAACTGCGGGCCTAAATTGTGGTGATCAACGAAGCGTACACAGCCAGCCCTCCATATCTGCAAGTTCTGCATCTACCAACTGTGGGTCAGAAATACTGGGGGGGATTTCAAATAACACAAAATTTTTAAAATATGGTATAAACTCTTTACACAGCATTCACGTTGTGTTGGGTATTAGAAGTAACCTAGAGATGACTGCGTACACAGGAGGATGGCCGTAGGTTATGTGCAAATACATCATTTTGTATCAGGGACCTGAGCATCTGTGGGTTTTGATACCTGGAGGTCCTGGAGCCAACCCCTGGTGAATACCGAGGGACGACTGTACACCACCCTGCAGCACTGGCTTTTGTGTCGTCAAAGTTAATCGCAAATAAGGGAAAGGTCTTTTGGACTCTCTCTGAAGGAGTTTCTCCAGTTCCCTGAAAAAACACTGATTATAAGGAAAGGGAGCCGTGCTCCTCTGCCGGCGGGTGGCAGCCACGGGGTGACCAAGGGTTGGAGCTGCCTGTTTGGCCTGGGATGGTCCTGCCCTGGTCCACCAAGCCCCCGTCCAGAGACAGGCTTTGTGTACTTGGTGCAGCTCACCGTTCTTGTCCCCGCCACCCCCATCAGATTGTGAGCAACGGCAGGACAGAGACATTTCCAACTTTTGTGATCTCGACTACCAGCCATCCCTAGATGGGACCTAAAGGGGTAGAATAAAATAGACTGAGGCAAATTTAAATTTTTTATTGTGGTGTAATATATATATAACACACAGTTGGGTGGCATTAACTACCACCACAAGGTGTGTGACTTCACCACCATGCATTTCCTACCTCAGTCTCCCCTGGCCCTGTCACTTGGACGAACAAGCCACAGCTTGTCAGGCCCGCGTCAGCCACTGAGGCTGCTGTGCTCCAGGGGCCTGAAGGAGAGTGGCTTCCAGCCCCACTAGGTGGCAGTCAGGAGCTGCCTGTGAGGGATGACAGGTCTGCTTCCTAGGACCAAGTACCACAACCTGGGAGGCCACAAAAAACAGAAATTCACTCTCTCTCAGCCCTGGAGGCCAGAGCGCAAAGCCCAGGGCCCGCCCCCCTCTAGTTTGCTGTTTGGAACCCTCGGTGCTCTTTGGCCTGGAGATCCAGCCCTCCACGTGCTGCTAGCTCTGCACAGGGCACCATCCCTGATGTGCCCGCGTTTCTTCTAAGGACACCAGTCACATTGGAGTCAGGGCTCATCCCACCCTAGTGTGACCTCGTCTTAACTAATCCCTATGACAACCCTATTTACAAATAAGGTCACGTTCAGAGGTGGCAAACAGATCATATCAGCTCCTGCAGGCACCAGGGCTTTCTCCATGGGCCTCGGGCCCAGGAAGCTTGTGCTTAGACCTGCAGCCTCAGCCCGGGGCCCCTGCCAGTGACCATACCTCAGTGCAGGAACTGGCCGGGCACCCCGTCTGTGCTCCTTACAGGCCTTTATGTCTTTCAGAATCAGTTGTCTGGGAACCTGCTGAGGAAATTCAAAAACAGCAACGGGTGGCAGAAGCTGTGGGTGGTGTTCACAAACTTCTGCCTGTTCTTCTACAAGTCACACCAGGTGAGTGCCTCGCACAGAGCAGGGGGGCCGGGGGAGCTCAGGGACTCCACGCAGCCCATGCCCTGCTTGCGGCCAGGCAGCCTTCCTCTGGAAGGACGGAGAAGCCGGGGTTATGGGGACAGCTCCATCCATCAGAAGCCCTCAAGGATGACATTATCCATCTGTTGAAGTCCTGCTTCAGCCTCAGAAAGGGCCACCTGGCTTCAGGTTGGACAGGGGAGGGGGACAGCTCATGCCCCAGGCTGGTCTCACTTGCTGGGCCAAGCCCAGCTGCGGCTGGTCCATTCCCTTTGCTGCCTGGGCTCCCAGGACCACTGCTGGGTTAGGGTAGTAGCCAGGACCCCCACACACATCCCCGCTGCCAGAGGCCACCTCCATGAAGTCATTCTGTCCCCCTTTCCAGGACAATCACCCCCTCGCCAGCCTGCCTCTGCTCGGATACTCGCTCACCATTCCCTCGGAGTCCGAGAACATCCACAAAGACCACGTGTTCAAGCTGCACTTCAAGTCCCATGTGTACTACTTCAGGGCTGAAAGTGAATACACGTTTGAAAGGTAGACGTCCCCTCTCTTGCACACAGAGCACCTGGGGGAAGGGGACACTCTCCCCCACACCAGGATTCCTCCCAAGTGAGCGGGTGAATCAACCCCTTTGGGCCTGGTTCCCTGCCCAGTGCTGAGAGAGAAAAGGTTTAGTGAGACCCAGAGTCCCTGGGCCGGACGCCAGCACATGCTTCTGTTCTCCTGACTCAGCAGGTGGAGTCCCCGCTTCCCCGGGGAGTTCAAGTACCATGCTGTCCTGGCGTTACATGCCTAGGCCTAGAGAAAGCATTTTGATACAAAACAAAAACCTTAGATTTTTGAGTCTGTGGCTTCAGTCGTTAATCATAACATTCCTGATTGGGCTATACGAAGAAGGGAGAAAAATCTTAGTAGTTCTTAGGGTTACCACATTAGGGAGACCACCATACCTGGTTGGGAAGACGCCGGGGTGGGGGTGGCAGTCTTCATTTGGCCATGACACAAAAGTGAAATGGAAAGAGCAGGTGTTGGGTAGAGCCCTGGCTTGAGGCTTTTCCTGAAATTCACATTTCAAGTAGACTTTTCCTGGGCCTCTGGGAACCTCGTCCAGAAGCAGACGACCAAAGCCGCTGTCACTGCCAAACTGCCATCTGGGGGCAGGGGGCCCTTCTCTCCTGGCTACGCTGTTTGGTTTTCTAAACTGAAGGGCCAATTATGAACTGCGCACAGTCCCTAGTAAATTCTGCAGAAATAGCACAATGGTTCAAAACCCAAGTTTAAAGCCCCCACTACACCTAAAAACCGCACACTGATGGACTGAGCTTGATAGCAGGTGTTATCCAAGTTGGGATCGTCTTACTATGGTACAGATAATCTTGATTTGCAGCAGAAAGATCCTAAAGACCTGTGATGAGATTTCTAAATATAAAATAAGCATTCCTCCTCCACACACACACACACAGGAAGCTTGGCATACACCAGGGTTTCTCAGCCTCAGCACTACTGACATTTTGGACCAGATAATTTGGGAGGTGAAAGGGGGGGGTTTTCCTGTGTATTGCAGAACACTCCGCAGCATTCCTGTCCTCCACCATTAGATGCCAGTAGTGCCCCCTCAGTTGTGACAATTAAAAATGTCTCCAGACTTTACCTCATCCCCCAGGGGGCAACATCGCTCCCAGTTGAGAACCATTGGAAATATGCAAGTAGAAAAATGGAGCTCTCACTGCTACAACTAAGCAGGATGGGACAGGCCACTGTTCTCTGCAAAAAGCAGGCCTCTCCCGAGCAGCAGAAGCCCCCTCCCCCGCAACTGCTGAGAATGGAGCGTGTGGCCTTTGGTACTGCTGTATCACCTGGGGAAGGCACAGACCTCTTGGGTACTTCAGCTCCATACACTGAGTGTGCCCAGGCCCCAGTTCTCAAACTGGGCTCCTCAGGAACAGGAAGAACCCTGTGTTTGGCTGCTAGTTCAGTTGCAAACCAGGTGGTGTTACATCATGCTGTTTTTGTAAGTAGCGACCATCAGCTGTCCAAACGAGAAGAAAAACCAGTACAACGGGTTTTTTTTAAGTACAACGGGTTTTTTTTAAAGTGGCCCAAGGTAGTTATATGACTTTCTTCTGTTTTTAGGTGGATGGAGGTGATCCGAAGTGCCACCAGCTCAGCTTCACGGGCCCACATTTTGAGTCACAAAGAATCTCACGTGTACTGACAGCTGGACCCATCCCTTGTTTCACAGCAGTCGCTGCTTTCCTGGAGGACATTTACTTTCTTCTGTATTAATGAAGCCTAGTAAAATTAACAACTGTCTGAAAAACAAAAAACATGGTTTTACAGCAGCTCTCCTCTGTCTCTACAGAAGCGTTTTTAACCCTGTCTTCTGATGGAACAGCGCTCCCATCTCCACTCCTGGGTGGCTTGTCACCTGTCTTTCTCCGCGGGGGGTTCTTTAGTTTGTGCCAGTATTAAAACATTGTCATTAACAGAGTGCCAAATGACAGTTTTCCCTCCACAACTGTACCTTAAGACATCTGTTCAACCAAAAGACAGGGCAAGTGCCCTTTTTCTATTATTTTCATCTCTAGGCTGCTGTGTTTTAAAAAATGGACTTTCCAGTGTTTGCAATACACATGGCACAGTCTTAAGCAAAAGAGATCATTTTCAGATTTCGTTTTTTTCAATCTTTCTACTTTTATAATAGGGAGTTAGTAGGACCCACTTCTTTAATAAGCAATTTTCAGCACACTACGTTCCACTTAGGGATTTTGTGCTCCAGTGAAAACTTACCGGACCTACTTCTTGGTTGACCAAATTGTTACATGATTACTATTTACAAACTGTAGCTCGGTTGTCTTAAGAGAAGCAGAAATCCAGTGCGATATCTGGACTATCACTGTACTGTGAGTGGTGTATACAAATGAGAAGATATTAAGCTGTGGTGTTTTGCTGTTTCACAAGCATGAAAACCTATATGTCATTAATCAGGGCCATTTGTGATATGTTACATTACGGAGAGTTTTTGTGAGCTTACGTGGATGCAGAAACACTATAAAGTAATGGTACGTAGTCCCCCCGGCGCCCTTATATACCTGTACCCTCCTGCAACTGTGGTTTGAAACTGCACATTCTCTAGTAGTGTATATTGTGCCTGTCTTTAAAACCAACATTCTTTACCTTTTTATACTCATCCCCCCAGGCATGGGGTACTGACAGTATGACATCACACCTCGACAGTCGGACTACACAGAGAACATGGTTTCCAGCAACTGCTTGGGCCCACTAGTCGAAACGTTTGCCTATTCTCTATGGTGACTGGGGTGGCTGCTATTCCCTTAGAATTCCGAAGCCCTTTCTAACACAAATCTAAAACATCCAGAGGAGGCAGCAGCCAGTTCAACACAGACAGTTGTCTTCCGGTGCCCTGTCCCCACAACTGGGAAAGCCTAAGTACTTACCTAAGAAAGGAACACGTGGAGCTGCGGCTGGCCTACATGGAAATGGAACGGATGAGCAGCTTGGGTTGTGTTAATCATTTGCCTTACAATATGTACCAGATGGTTTTCAGTACTAACAAAAGGGAATAAAAATACCTCACGCCACAATCCAGCATATTGAAGTTTTAAGGCAAAACAACCAACCTTGTCTCTCGCCTTTATTTTCATCGGCGGGCAGAGGGACGGGGTGCTGGCTGGGGGGACAGCAGGGATGGATGTAGAAGGGAAAAAGGACAGAGTCACTAAGACAAGCAACATGTTTTGGAAAACTTGGTATGGAGGAAATAGAACATTCTTGCAGACTGACTGGTGGCGTCCTTAACAGAAGTTATAAATAAACTGATGAGACCGGAGGGCTCCCCTCCTCCCCTGTGGAGTAAAGCCCATCATGCAGGGGCTCAGCACGCTGAAGCTGCGCCCTGGGGCTTCTTCCACACCCCGGGTGGGGCTGCATGGGGGTGGAGCAGACACCTGGGGAACATGGAGCCCAAAAGCATGTGACCCACTCACCCAACAGCAAGATGGCAGAGCTCCCTCCAGAAGTCCCCCATCACTAAACTCAGGAAGACTTGGGGACCAAGTGGCCTCCTATGTCAGTATTTCTGAATGATTCCAGCTCCAATCTGTTACCAGCACCTGTTTCTCCCGAGACCTCAGAGGGAAACTAAGTTAGGCACCTTATTTAGTCCATTCCCAAGCTGCCAGGAACAGAGTTTCAGAGACACCCCCTACATACAACACAAATCACAAAAGCCGTCATTTTCTGTGAACTTTATTGACCCTTGTGTGGTACAGCGCCTGTGCTTAAGAACACGCCCCATGGTGCTCGCCACCTCGTTGCATATTTTGTAGCAGAAATACAGAAGCCACATTTGTTAAGGAAATATAAAAACGCTTATAAATGGACCACACGCTTTGCCAAAAGAAAGGTACAAAATGCCACATAAAGAACCAAACCAGACACTCCACAAGAGCAACTCGAGAACAAAACTGTTGGACTTGGGAGGCAGGTGGCACCTGGAGCCCAGCTGTCCAGTTGCCACAGCGTCCCAAACCCCCTGGTGGCCCACCTTGCTGTGCAGCCAGCTGGGACACAGAAAGCCACCTTCAAAAGGGCATAAACCACCAGCCAAACACAGTCAGCATATCCCACAGGCAGTGGCTGTGCCGCTGCTCACTGTCCTGCAGAACTATTTCCCACACTAGCTGCATGAGCGCGGTCTGGGGTCTTCAAGCAGACCAGCCATTAGCAGCTCGGGTTTGGCATGCAGAGGCTTCGGAGTGATAGTAAACCCGTCTTGAATACTGAGCTCACACATCTGGCTAAAGACCAACAGCAGTTTACATTGAGACTGGAACAAGATAGACAAATGCTACTAGCTTCCTTGGCTAAACAAGATGCCCTTAAAAATACTTCAGCTGATTTTGTGTGTCTACAGAAAGTAACAATCCAGAGGAGACTGTACATGGAGGTGAACTGCTTTTAAACTCCCGTCAAACCACATCTCCAGGAAGCTGAATGGCCAGAAAATGCTTCCATTAAATTCTAAAAGAATCATTTGCTTTTACCAGGAGATGGAGTTGTGGATTATTAAAGTCTAGTGACTGCACAGAATCTGCTAACCAAATCATACCAATATACTCAGTTAAAATCCAGTCCACTTAGCAGCATAACCACAGTTATGGCTTCAGCATCAAAAATGGTGACGTCGTCCATTTGTAAATTTGAAGAACCCTGTAAGTCAGAAAAGCTGCTGTCGGGCCGGCCCGGTGGCGCACTGCTATAGTGCGCTGCTTGGGAAGTGTGGTGGCGCTCCCGCCGAGGGTTCGGATCCCACATACAGACCGGCCGCTCACTGGCTGAGCGAGGGGCGGGGGTTGCGATCCCGTGGCCGGTCCCGGTCCGGTACGGGCACGACACTGAGGGTTGCGATCCGTTGCCGGTCACGAAAAAAGACAAAAAAAAAAAAAAAGAAAAGAAAAGCTGCTGTCTGTGTTGGCTCTTAAAATCAAGACAAGCAGCACACTCTGGAGAACATGAACTCATTTCTTTAAGTGATTCTTTCTCCCGCAATGAACAAAACTGACCTTTGGCTTATGCCTCATGTAAGGAAGGAAATAGTTCCCCCATACAGAACACCCTCTAGAAACATGAAATGTTTAAGGTAACTCTTGCTGCAGACTAATGCGTACAGTAAGAATTAGCAATTCAGTTCTACTTCCCCTAACCAAAACATACCCCTTATAGAAATTAATAGTTCAACCCAAATCCACTTCTAATAAAATATCCTGATTTGATTTTAGAGTTTAAAAACTAGAATCCATTAATAATACATCTAAACAATAACTACCCACTCAAACATCTCAGGCTCAGGCCTCTGTCTTCTACCTGTAACATCTACCCCCTAGACCAGTAGGTAGCTGAGCTTACATTCCAAAAATTCACCTAATAACTTCCTTGCTTCCAAAATCCTTGGTCTTCCTTCTAAAGAACTGGTACTCTCACAAGAGATGACAATAATTATAATTAGCATCAACAAATATAAAAGAATGCCACAAGTACCTACACCAGACAGTCAACAATTGCTACAAGAACTCCCTCCCATCCCAGAAACCCAGAGATTATCTCCCCCCTTGCGAAGCAAGGCCCTGCAAGCTAAGAAAAACAGACACCCTGGCTGACAGCACTAGTGGACACTGGCTCCTTTCAGAGGACTAAACCCTTAAGGCCCCCGGCAAGAGGTATAGCAATTTCACAAATCAGCAGTATTCAAACCACATCTTCTCAATGACCAATGTTACAAGTTGCATAGGGAACACACTTGGATGTTCAGCGTTTTGACATGTGGGCACTTTTCCCTGGAGTCTTCTGCACTGTCTCATCACACATACACACACAGACACAGCAGGTGCCCTTTCCTCTGCACAGTCACGTTTCAAGGAGAGTATGCAAAGTAAGTGTATTATAAAATTTATTTGTGTAAGCAGTCAGACAATTTTAGGTGGGAAAGATGATATGCAGATTCCACTACAGGGTGCAACAGAAAATCGTACTGAAAGGACGGTATACCTGGCGCAGACCGGCAGTGGCACAATTCCAAACAAATGTTAGATGAGAGTGCTTCATCTGGGAGAAACTTAAAATAATTTAAAGCTTCATGAGGCAAGATATGTTCCAATTTAAAACACTAAGAAATAGTACCATCAATGAAAAAGGAAATCAACTTCTAAGTGTACCAAAAGGGTGGTGGGGCAAACGAGGAAAATTTGCATGTGTTGAGGTACAAATACGAGTGAACCATAGAGGGGCATTAATTATTACTAATGGCAAACCCTGCAAATACAAAATAAAACCCAAATCACTGGTCACATAATTCAAAATTTACATGTAATAAAGGCAAGGCAATAGACTTGAGTTATGGCCTATCAAATATTTACTCCACTGACATTATCTACAGAAGCACTTGGCCAATTTGTACACAGTGATTCCTTATGCACGCCAGAAGGGTTTCTGTAAAAATGACACTATATACAAATCTGTACACTGATCCACCAGCACGCTCTCCATCTCCCAGGGGGAGTTATCAACTTAAAGCAGGATACCTGAGGTTTCATGTCTTTAGTTGCCTTATCATAATCCCAAATATACATTTCAGGGTTTGTTTCTGTTTTCAAAGACACTTTCCTTGAATATGTGCACTATGGTTAAAATTAAAAACAAGAATAATAAAATAAAACAATCACTTGAAGGAGCTGACACTCCCTAACCCCATCTGAGAGACTTCATCTGGCTGCGGCACAGCGAGGACCATGTGTATCCCTGGACAGGCACCCGCAGCTTTGCAGGATGGTCCTCTTTGGCGGAGTCAGCAAAGGCTCTCGACTTTTAAAAAGGAGGAGGACGAAGAAGAAAAAAGGAAAAACAAAATCCCAAATGCCAAAGGAATTTCAGTGGGATGAAGTTCCTCCGCCACTTAGAGAATATCTAGGGGAAAACACAAAAAGAAATAAAGTAAATAAACGTCATGCCTCTAACCCCCAGTGCAAGAATTCAAATAATAACCAAAATCTTAGTTTCTATAGAAATCCCAAGTCATAAAAAAGCCAGTGGAGCACATATCAATGGATTAATAAATCAACCATACAAAGAACCCATGAAGATTAAGAAAATCTTGATTCCAACACACAAACTTTACATTACGTAGCAAAAAGTGAAAGTGTGTTCAGCCTCCCTTGAGAAAAAACATGAATAAACAGATGATACTCCTGTACTTCTAATCGATTTTTAAAAACTAAAAATCACTAATACCTAATGAAACAGTAAGACTCCAGGGAGGCCAGTCTATAGCTGATGAGTACAAGTGCTGGAAACCCTTTCTGGCCACAAAAATATTGACATAGTCCAGAAATCCACTTCCTAGAATTGTTTCAGAAATATGGTCCAAAGGAGGAACAAAGTATTTGCATAAAGATGTCCCTCAGGATTTTTTGTAAGTATAGTAGTTTGGAAGCAACTTTGATGCCCAACAGTAGAGAAATGATTAAGTGAATTATGCAAACTAAATGAAATAATAAAGATTAAAAATTACAATTATCTATATTTATGCAATATGAAAAATATGTTAATAAGTACACAAACGGGCACTATACATGTATCATTTATATGTACAATTTTTTTCCTTAACATTTACTTGCACAGATTTGTGGGGTACAGTTTGCTGTTTCAATACATGCATATACTGCCCAATTACATATAAATTTCTTTATCCTGAATGCTATAGCATATCTAGAAAAATCATGTGTGCTATAATATGCAGGTATGCAAACAAATTCATCAAGTTGATGACATGTATATAACAACAGAAGACAACACATCAAAAGATAACAATAATTGGGCTACGGTGGTGGGACCATGGGAAATTTCTTCTGTTTTCCAAAAATTCTACAGCACTGTCTTGCTTTAGAATGCAAAAAAGGGTGGGGGTGAGGGTCCCCTCATGGCCGAGACTTCCTCAGCCACCTCAAAACTCCAAAAGTCACAGAGCCAGGAGATGGCTGAGGACATATTAACAGGACTTATCTCAAACTTTCCAATCTAGAGCTCTGCTCTGAAAGCATCTAAGATGCCTGGCACCCTTCCAGAGAACAAGTGGTTACATAGGATCCTCTTGAGAAGCACGCCTTAGCCACAGATCCTAAGACTCAAATTCCAAGAAATATAAATGACTAAATCATGGGATGAGCTGATGTCACACAAAAGGACCCAAACATGAATTCAGACTAAGAGACAGAAAGGCTGTGAGAACGCTTGAGACGAAACTCGTTGGCACTTGTGCTGAGGTGAGGCACTGGACTGGCGTGCTCGGTTGCCAGGCTGGCAGAAGCCAAGCCCCGGCCACCGTGTGCTTCTGGCATCCTCCTGGGTAGACGCTCAGTAAGAGCTTCAGAGGCCTCGAGGGAAGAAACAGGTGGACTCAGCCATGTCTGCACGGACAAGACAAAGACCACAACAGCCAGGTCATCTGAAGAGCAAGGAGCAAGGAGGGTGCGCTCATCACGGAGGGCAGAGAGAACAGAGAAGGGTCCTGAGACTGAGGAGAAGCAAAGACAGAGACTCAGCATCTCCAACGTATCCACGGACAGTAAAACACTAACCATAACACAGAAGTCACGTATTTCCAGGTCTGCACTAAAGTAAACACTGGCTCCAAGTGCCAATCTAGTATCTGAAATGTCTTAAATTTGAACTGAGATGTGCTAGTAAGTGTAAAATACAGACTAGATTTCAAAGATGTAGTATGAAAAAAATGAATGTAAAATATCTAATAACTGTCTATAGTGATAACATGTTGAAATGGTATTTTGGATGTAGCAGGTTATAAATATACATTATTAAAACTAATGTCACTTGTTTCTTTTTCACTTTTTTTTAATACAGCTATGAGAAAATTTAAAATTCTCTCTGTGGCTCACATCATATTTCCACTGGACAGTGCTGATATTGACCAACTTCAATCAGCAACTAAAGGAAGGGGAACAGGGAGGTAAGGGGGCCCTGGAACTGGGAAACTTGGACCAATTAAATACGCACAGGTCACTCAATCTGTGCCTGGGAGCTGCTGGGGAAATTAAGTCAGATATATAAATCATTCATAAAAATTTCAGGCAATTCTGTAAAATGTAGAAAATAACAACTGTAAAAGTGACATTATGAAAGCAGAAAACAAAACCCAAAACAAGATAACAACAATACCACCAGTTACTGGTTTAGTTCTATTTGCTTTATTATAAGGCTCTTTTGAATGAGAATAAATACCACTAGAATGAGGTGTGAAGCTATACCAAGTTTCTTTGAGAAACCAAAATGTTTTGTGTTTGGGTGAGCACATGGGTGACTTTTTCATTCTATTTTCCTTTATTCCTATAATTTGTTACGTTGCTTTTAGTATCCAGGGGTGAGGGTGGAAGTGTAGAGAGATCACCCAGAAAGATCACTGATTCCTTCAATTGCCTCAAAATTGAAGGCAGCCAAGTAAAGTTTTTATTTTCTACCCAAAACCTCAGAGCAAGTTACAAAGTTGAACTTTTATTAAGGGACCTGAATAAAGACTGTAATTTTCTCTGGATGTGCCCACTTAGAGGAGCTCTTCACAGGGCAGTGGGCAGCCCATTCAATCATCACTTCCAAATGGCAAAAGTGACCCTACGTGCCCCAAAGCTTTTTTGTGTGCTGTCAAGTAGCAACCTCAGAAAAGACCTGGAAATGCTCCTAATTACAGCAAGGCTCAGCCACCCTTTGGAAGGGAGCATTAGCCTGGACACCTAAAGACGAACATAAAAGCAATGACTTGCCTGGTGCTGCAGGGAGCGAGGAAGGTACAGAGTGTGAAGGAGAGCCTGGTGACAAATCCCCAGGTCACAGAACTGCTGGCTGGTGCACCTCCACTGTCTCCAAACACCACCAAACGACTGCACCTACAACAGCCTGGGGTGACTTTCCTTCACACAGATACTCCTAAAACAAGCTCGTGAGAGGTGCAGGGAAGTCCCAAACTGTCACCCCCATTTACTCCTCGCCCTGGAGCATATGCAGCAAAAGGTCAGCAGGAGGAGGAAAGAGAGCTCCCGGATGCTGGCTCAGATAAGCTGCTGCCAACAAGTCTACGGGTCCAGACACACCACTGACCAGGAAGTGGGCACACCCAGGGCCATTCTCACTGAGTTCACCGAGCCAACACCTCTGGTGTTTCTGGACATTTGACTTTAAAGCCTAAACCTAACAGACAGTTACACTCATTTGGCTAAGGACTATATTTCTCTGCCTGATAATTAGGCTGCATAATTAAGAGCAGGCAGGTATTTAAAAATCCTCCTCTATTTCTGAGGCAAGAACTACAAATGTATAAAGTTCTGTGGTCCTTTCCAGTAGTTTCCGTATTCATACCATTCATTCACATGGATTTCTAGAATTCAGAACAAAGGTCTTCTCTAACTTGATCCTGCTCCAACTCTAAGGACTGGAAAAGAGAAACAGACCAAGAACTAAGCACCAAACTGACTGTAGTGGATTGAAATATGTACCCCCAAAACTCACTAAAGCTTGAATTGTATCCCCCAAGTTTTATATATTAGAAACTTAGCCCCCACTGTGACTGTTAAGAGGGTGGGAAATCCTATTATGGTAATGGAAAGGTGGGCCTTGAAGAGGTGATTGGACTGTAGGACCGTGCCTAGTGAATGGATTAATAATGGCCGTCAGGGGTGGGTTCTGAAGGCTTTGAAAGAACAGTGCATAAGGAACTGTCTCTCTCCGCTCTGCTTCCACCATCTTGCAATGTGAGAGAGACCCCTGGGTCACTGTCGCCACCACCAGATGGACTTTGGTCTTCCCAGCCTCAGAAACTGTAAGCAATAAACTTCATTGTTCTTTATAAATCACCCAGTTTCAGGTATTTTGTTCCATGCAACAGAAGTGGACTGAAACACTGAAGAACTGTGCTCCAGTCTAGAGGAAAGTCTTCCCACACCCAGCTCGGCAAGCGCCGGGCAGTTACCTCTGGAGCCGCTGCACGAGCTGGGCCACCATGGTGTCAGAGATCCCGGGGCAGGCCTCTTCCGCCAGGTAGATGGCCCCGCGCAGCTCCTCTATGGACCCCAGATTCCCTCCGCACGCCTGGCTCTTCTCCTTCAACTGGAAACACACACACAGGGAGAAACAGCGTGACGCACGAGAACGGTGAGCAGTCGCCTTAAGGAGTAATGACCTCTGGACTCTACACTACTCCAAGCCCATGGAGCCTGGCAACAGCTTTGGCTCAGCTACTGGGTCGCTTCAAATGCTCTGAGAAAAGCATGTAGACACAGGGCAACAGTCACAGCAAAACCATTGCCATCTCTGGGCCAGAGACAACGGACTTCCCGTGCACACCTTTTCCCAGTCTGATTGTGAGGGCTGTCCTCTATTTTTTTTTCTATTTCAACCTTAATCTTGCTCCAGAAAAGCAGTTTCAAACCCTATCAGATATGATTCTGGTTCCAACACTTAAGCCGCAGCACGGGTCATCTAAAGCTTAGCTCCTAATGTTAATGGGTTACTTCTAAAACTCCAGCAAACTGTGTTTTTGATCCAGAGCGCTGTCAAAATATCCTATTTCATGTAAATAAGTGGCAGCCCTAAAATCTGGGAATCCACAGTGTCCCTCCTGGCACCTCTGCTCCGATGAGAAATCACACAGTGTTTTCAAGGCACCTCCCTCAGTTGAAGGTCAAAGCTAAGTCTCTTTCTAGGATGCACCCAAAACATGAACTGCAAAAAAGAGAACTGCTCGAGTCAGACACAGCACGTCTCAGGGACAAAACGCCTCGCAGAAGAGGCTCCAGTTGGCAGCTGCAGAGATGAGAGACACCACCTCCTCTTCAGGAGTCCCCCTCAAGGTAATCTTTAAGAAATAGCTCATAAAACATTGAGCTTTGGCTTTCCAGGCTCTTGTGAACACACTGTCATATCAAGAATAAGATTCACCCTAAAAGCAATGGCTTCCCTCTCTGATGCAGAGGACCCAGAAGGGCTGACGTTGGGGGGGCAATGGGTGCCAAGAACACTTGCTCCTTGTGCTCTTTCTTGTCACAGACTGCAGCACAGCTGACTGTGAGACACCACATGCATCTGTCTAGGGCTCTCAATCATTCAACGGTGTTCACAAGCCCTGCGAGAGTAATCTGCAATCCACCCCTCTCCCTCCTGCCCTGGGACCCACACCTGCATCTCAGAAAAGAAACAGGAAGGGCAGAAAGAGCAGCCCGGGAAAGTTCCTCCATCCAAGCCTCGCGGGCTGTGCTCCATTCATCACTGACTTGAGTGAGCAACCTGGGCATATGCTGAGTGACAGCAGGGGACAGCCACGCCCCGTCTCCTCAATGTCCCCATCTGTACATGGGGGGGACAATGATCCTTCTTAGTGAGCTTCTGCGAGTGTTAAATAAAATAATGCACCTTACACACTTTGAACTCTAGGTTATCAAATATTACCAATAATAAAAATAAACAGGAAAAGCTGCCCATGAGTCTACCTTTCGGTTATAAGGCTATTACTGCACAAAGGTTAATTTGGAGTGAGTCCTAAATAATGGTTTCAATAGTTTCTCCATGGGCCCAATAAAAAATATACAGCCTCAGGCAAATGAGAAAGGCCATGACTTTCTCCCTAACTGCTGGACTGATCCTATTAAAGCGGCCAAGGGCGGGGTCATAGGACAGCTACTGAGCACCTAGAAAACCCAAAGGGGCAATCTCCCAACCACTCAAGAGCAAAACCGTGTCTTATAAACATGCTAACAAGCCAGAGATACCAGAAAAATCAGCCATGTCTGGAGCCAGAAAGCAGCAGAGCAGGGCCCTGGCCTGCCCTGTGCCACGCCCTTTCCCCTCTGAAGCCGGGTGCTTGGCAGTCTCAAGCTGCACCAATGTGGCCGCTGAAACCTCTGGCTCCATGGTGGCCCTCCTTCCACAGCTCTGGGGCAGGGGGCCAAGTGGAAGAGAGCGGGCCAAGCCAGCGGCACCTCCTCCTCCCTCCCCTCCCACCTCAGCACGAGGAGGACCCCGGCCCAGGCTGGGGAAGCCCCCAAACAGGCCTGCAAAGGTCTAATTGCCACACAGAGGCGGGGACTGGAATTTTCCTAAACGCTGCCGCTGCCAGAGTCAGGAAGGGGACACAAAGAGAGAGAGAAAGGAGGATTTCCAACTCATGTGCAAATCAGCAACCAGCCAGATCTTCACTCTTATGCAACCTACCCCTGAACAGATCAAGCACAGTAGGCCAGAGATCACAGGGGGTGGGCCACACGGAAGGAGGCAGCCACAGGACGAGGGACTGAGCCGCTGGCACTCTCTGAGACAGGCACCCGCTGGGAGACGTTACTCTTCCGTGCCCCTGGAGCAGGGACTACAGTGGACTGTGACAGCAGGACGGTCCACATGAGCACTCAAGGAAACCCAACATCTCCTTAAAAACAAGTATCTGCTTTTTACATTGCCATAAATTTGTCTCAGGCCGAGAGGTTAGGCTGCATTCAGCCAGATTCTACAGAAAGCAGCAGAACTGAGGCTGCAAATCACCCAAATGACACCTGGCATGGTTCACAGGTGTCCCATCCATACACTGAAGGCTACCACACAGCACGCAGCTCCCAGGGAGACCTGACAGAAGACGCTGCCCAAAGAAGGCAGAGCTGATGCCAGCGGCCGTCCACGAGGCCTGCTGCAGACGTCCCGAGCCTGCTGCTTCTAGCTTGTTTACACTCCTCCTGGCAATGTTGCCACAGCAGTATGCCTGCTCGCTCTCCCCCTCTCCCCACCCCCCAAAAAGTCATCCAAGTATCTTACCTCTGCAAACAGAGGAGAGATAATTGTAGATAAACACTGAGAGAAAGGCCTCTTTGGGATGTCTTTCATCTGGCGAGAGGGGGGAAAAAAAGGTCATTAGAAATAGTAACATTTACTGGTGATGATTCAATAAACTTCAGATCTAGACTATCAAAGCATAAGGGTGACTCTACCACCTCACTCTAAAACGTTTTCTGCTCGCTGTCATGTCTGAATAGGACTGTCTTTCACCAGACTACAAAGTTTAATTTGCAGTGACATGCAGAACCCGTGCAGTGGCAAACCAGAATCTGGATGCCACATGGAAAGAACCAGACGGCCAGGCAGCAGAACTCTGTGGGTACAGCTGGGTGAGACGCATCATTGCGCTATCTCTGAGGAAGTATTGTACTAATGACACCCTGGAAATGGAAATCAGATCGAAGGTGGCTATGACCAGCAGCTGTCATACAACAGAGGCTTATTTTCCACTTTCACAACCTCTATCTGAACACTTATCACCTGACCGCTTATCAAAGCAGGTCTGGCAGGATCACCAGGGACAGCCACTGGGCAACACTGCCTGAGAGAAACTACACACTGAGCTTCAAAAAGGTCCTAAAAGTACAGCTTTTCATGTGTTTAAACAGACATAAAGCCAATTAATCAAAATTAAGTTTTAAATAAGTACCAAAAGCAATACATTTATTATAAGTTCCTTAAATGAAACTCATCATAAAATTATGGTATGTTATGTGAGTAACCCCAATGTGCAAAACAGACACAGTCTGGTAAAGAGAGCTATGAAGTCAGTTCGTACTGACTTCACCCCCATCTAACTCCCATGAGGTGGACGACCCTGCCCACTCCCACAGTAACTTTACACAAAAGTGATTCAGAAATGTCGCTGACTGACAACAAATGTTAGAAATTCTAGTACAAGCAAATGTACCTTATTTCTTTCTAAATCTGATGGCTGAAGAGCTCCATTCTCAAGATTCTTGGGATCTTTTTCTCGGATTGTGAAGATCCAGTCCCCAGAGTCACTGCCTCCAGACGCTTGGCCATCTGTTTCCCTTAACACAAAAATCCAGACGAATTCCATCAATGTGCATGCACTGGCTCCAGGGGCTGAGATTCTCCAAGGGCAGGCCACATGGGGCCTCTGAATCCACGTCCCCGGCCTTCTCCACCCTCACCCCACCAGGCACGCCCCGTCCAGTCCCTCTGGGACTTCCAGAGCCTCCCCTGCCTCCTGCGTCACGGAAGAGAGAGCCCACGGGCATAAGGTGCCCGGGACTGCCCACCGTGCCAGAGCATCCACACCCTCCCTCCTCCTCCGCACATGGAAGAGGCGGCCGTCTCCTGGGAATGTCATCCCCGCTCCACTGAGAGCCCTGCTCCGGGCGTCCACTTCTCCCCAGCTGGCCCCTCCTCCAGCCATGCCCAGCTCTTGCAACGGTCCCGGGGTGCTCTCTACGCCTGCTGACTCCTTTTGTTGCCTTCCGCTCATTCAAACCCACCCGTGTCCCTCCGAGCGCCTCCACCCAGGCCCCGACCCCCCATTGCTGGCTAAGGGTGCCCTGTATGGGCCTCATCATGCCAGGCCCTCAGCAGCAGCAGTGGCGAAGGTCCCACGGGCGATCCCCGTGCCATAGCCACTGCACCTGCATCTCCTCACACCCCTGGGACCACACCCTGTCGTCCTGCTCTCGGCTGGCTTCGTGCTCATGCTAGTCTCCCAGGGGCTGTCGCAGGCCTGCGACTCTTCTCGCTCTGCACACATGCTCAGCAGCCATTCATTCTCATGGCTCAAAGGACCTTTCACAGAGCGGTGACCCCTCGATCTGTATCATCTGCCTACCGTCTTGCCTGAACGCCACACCCTGAAGCCATCTCCTCCTGGACGCTCCCTAAGACCCACGTCATATTCGGCTGATTGTGCCCCGTCACCTCAGCGCCACCTGCCATACTGCCAAAGCCCAGAACACATTCTCCTCCTTCAGCCGAGCCACATCCTGGCTCTCAAACCCTCTCTCCAATCTCTTCATCGCCATTGCTACCACCTCACCTGCAGCATCATTCATTACCTCAACAGCTCCGAGGTCAGCAGTCTCAACCCTGGCTTTAAAATGGAATCACTGGGGGACCTTGAAAAAACACTTTGGGTCTTGTCCCCAGAAACTGTCACTCAGCTGTCCTGGCCTGTGGACCTGGCTGAGGGCCAGCTTGCCCTTCTGGCCAGGATGTGCAGGGGCCCATGTGGGGGCACAGAAGAGTCCTCCGGGCTCGGACTTACAGACACTACACTGGCCCAGCCTCTCCCGTCTTCCCTCACATCAGAGCAGTCAAGCCAGCAGCCCTGTCCCCGCCACTGAAATGGCCCCAGACCCACTTCACCTCTGCAGCCTAGAGAATTCCTAGACGCTTAACCTGACACTTTTTAGTAAGTAACTTCCTGGCTCAGAGCTTTAACAACGCCAAGCATCTACCAGAACACAATATGGAATCACAAAAACATGCATTTATGTCTTTTCGAAAATATACTTAAAGCAGTTTCACCTGATCAGTGTTTGTAAAGCAGCAATTAGAATGAAGAGAAAAGAAACCAGGTTGAGATCTTCATGCACAGTTCTACCGCAGATTCTACTCAGAGAAACCCCACTGGCAACATCAAGAGGATGAACAGCTCCCTAATGGCTGTAACATGGGGTCGAACGCAAGAACCACCACCCACCTGGATTATCTAAAAACAAACAAAACACTAATCCCAAACAAGAAACTAGGGTCCTTTCAGGCTGCACAGCGCAGGCCAGCAACTTACGTGTCGGAGTCCCCAGAGCTGGAGTCGTCCTGGCTCTGCGCGGCCTTCCACCGCTTGTACCTGTCGATGAGCTCGGTCAGGTAGGAGGTCTTCTTCGCATTGCGTAGTATGAACTTGTGCTTCAGCAGCTCCTTGGCAGTGGGCCTCTGCACAGCCACCGCGCGCACACACACACACACACACACACACCAGAAATATGAGATGACGTCCATTCTTCATTCCACTGTACTCCACCCCAAACAACAGACTTCTGCCTCAAAATGTCAACCCACCACACTAATACCTGAAGATCGAAATCTATGCAAAGCTTTTTCTCTGCAGCTTACTCAAAGTCTAGTCCTTCAGCACCTCTGACTGAGACTCCATTGTACTGCGGTGGACATGACATTCCACTTCCAATGGGATCTTTAACAATCTGCAGGTAACCAGCCAACAAAAGCAAGAGAACTTTCCCCAGAAAAACGCACTTACATGGGAAATTTTACATAGAACTTCCCAGGGACCACTCAAGAAGCCTTATCTCCGGGCCGGCCCGGTGGCGCACTGGAGAGTGCGCTGCTTGGGAGCGCGGCGGCGCTCCCACCAAGGGTTAGGATCCCATGTGGAGACCGGTTCCCGCTCACTGGCTGAGCGCGGTGTGGGCGCAACACCGAGGGTTGCGATCCCGTTACCGGTCAGTAAAAAAAGAAAGAAAGAAAGAAGCCTTATCTCCTAGATTTATAACACTTTATGACAAATGTCGACAAGATAGAAAATACATGTTCTGTGTTGTTAACTTCCTATACTAATGTTTGTCTACACCCCCAAAAATAAGAAGATAAATACGTTAATTTAGAAACATCTAAAAGAAGCCAAGAGATAGCCTTGTCCCGCCTGACTGAAGAGTACCTGGCTTCTCCTAGACCTCAGCTTTCCAGATTCAGGAAGGCTCATTTCCCAGGCCTGCCCCTGGGATGCAGCCCAGGGCTTCTTCCATGCCCTGGACTCAGCACACTCTGGACTCAGCCAACTGCTCTGCCCCGACGGTGGCAAAGCCAATGAGAGGGAGCCCAAATTGGAACAGACGGTAGGAACACAGAGGAGTTAAGTGACGCTAAGTTCCCACTTACTCCAAATTATGAAAACTCTGTTAACAAAAGCCAGGCATGCTTCTCACATTCAAATCTGTGAGAAACCTGGGCCACTGCGGGGCGTCCTGCCTCCCTGTCCACGTGACTGTGAAACTCCAAGCATCTTAGAAGTGCTCAGATTCGATGCTCACATCCTTCTCCTCAGCAGGGGTAGAGCTGGGGGGACGAGCCAACACCAAAATACGTTTTCAAGGGGAAGATGTGCACACCCATGGATGCCGGTGTACTGCACCCAGAACACACAGACCACCACCTGCCACCACCACCCAATGCTGATGCAGTGGTCACATGATGACCTGGTGGTCTGGGCTGTGCCCCTGGAGGTGCTTAGGAAATGCTACATTCCTCGTTTACTTCCTTTACCAGAACTGGCACCATGTGAGAAAGCCATGAGAATGAATCACCCATTTTCAGGTAAGAGTTCATAAAAAGGGGCTCGGCCTGGCCTTCGGCTAAGTCTTCCAGAAAACTCAGAAATGCAACAAAGACATAGTGCTACATGAGAAAATGAGGTAAAGCCATGTAGTCATTACTGCTGTATGGCTCTGCCAGAGCCAATTAAACACAAAAGAAGAAAGGAAGGAAGGGGAGGAAACGGCAAGGTGGGTGGCTCATTTATATTTTTGTTTCCTAACACATGCCAAGTAGAAACTAAAAACATTTACTTTAAAGACATATTCAGCCATTATTTTTTCAGGCTAGCCTTTGCCATGACTAAAAATAGCATAATAGTTTGTAGCCTGATTTCCTCTATAAATATTAAAAATTTATGATTCCACATATAATATAGAGGAGAATATTCTTCTGGCTCAATGAGTTATGAGATGATAGAAAATCTAAATTAAGTAGAGTTTTAATCCTTATAAGATCAAATAATGATAAAAACATATTTAGAAAAAGAAAAATAAATAACGTCATGAAGACAGCTAATAACAGTGATTAGAGAAATCTCAACAGGATGCATCTAAACCAAGTCAAGCTACCCACAAAGAAATGCCCATTCTGACCCTTGGGAAACTTACAAAGCTCGGCTCCTTATTCAAACAGGCCTCCACAAACTCCTTGAGGGGTTTGCTATAGTTTCCTTCCAGCGTCGGTGGGTTGTTCTTTGGGATGAGGAATAAAACCTTCATGGGGTGCAGCTCAGAATGGGGTGGCTCCCCTTTTGCAAGTTCGATAGCTGTGATGCCCAGGGACCAGATGTCGGCCTGCAACAACAAAAGCATTTTCAGAGACACCCAGCAGGAACATGTTCAAATAAATATACTTAGGGAAAAAATGACAATACCTCTCACTGGACTTCTAGGTTTTGAAAAAGATCATTACTTTTAACCAATAAGAAAAAACATAAGCCCTCAGTATAATTTCAAAATAGACAACAACAGAAGATTTAAGATACCAAATGTCTTCTGCCTCTCTACTGCAGACAGCTGGTGGCACCCTTCCTACTGCACTTACTGCTGGAGGCTCAGGTATTCACTGCGTGGTCCCTGGAGTCATGGGACAGGTAACAGATTAGCAGTGGGGCGAGCTGGGAGTGGGGGTCTCCCTCAAGCATGCTTGGAACTAAGCACAGCTTTGCGGTCAAGAGCAGGCACCCCAGTCCCAGAGACTTGGGTTTAAATGGCAGTTCTACAGGCGAAGTCCTGTGATATCAGACAGGCTAGCTAACCTCTGAGCCTTGTTTCCCTCATCTGTAATATGAGAAGGGGGGGCGTGCATAGCACCCAGAATGCTAAAATCCTAATGTAATGCTCCACCATATACCTAGCAAGTAAATTTAATAGCTATTAACACTCTGCCATACAGGCTTTGTCTATTTGTTGCCATAGTATATTTTAAAGTTAATCACAGCCATCTTGACATTTTTCCCCTCAGTACTTCAGTACACCAACATAATGACTTTTTACTACGTGTGAACACCTAAAATTAATAATATCATGTAATAATTAAATTTTCTCAACTGTTCAAAAAAAAGACTTTCCATGGTTGGCTTATTTGAATCAGAATCCAAACAAGGTCCACACAATACAGTTGAGCATTAGGTCACCTAAGGCTCTTTTAATCCAGAACAGTCCACTCCCCAATCTCCACTGTGCCATCAACTTGAAGAACTAGTCCCAAATTCTGGATTTGTCTGATGGTTTCCTTCTGGTGTCATTTAATGTGTTTCTCTACCTCCCATGTTTCCTGTCAAACATCCTGGAGGTTAATTAAATCTAGAGGCTGTATTAGATTCATTGTTGGCAGGAATGAGTGGCCCTGCACCAGGGACTTGGTGTCCATCGGTCCGACGCCTCCTGCCCAGCACGTGCTGTGGGCACAACCAGATACATGAATGAATGGATCTTTGAACGTGTAACATAAATGCAAAGAGCAGGGCGGCTGGGAGACTTTGTCAGCAGCTGAAACTAATCCCAGAGAACAGGACAGAAGCTGAAAATGAAGCAGTCTACACAGGCTCAGAGGACGGGGTGGAGAACACACCTTCATCCCGTCCAGCTTCTCTGCTCTATTCCTTGTGCACTGTATATCCATCATTACTCCAAGAACTTAAGTCAGAACCTCATAAACCTCTCTCACACTCAATCCCCAGCAAGAAAACAGGGAGGCTGGAACATCGTTTAGGTGACCTCAGGACCCAGACATTTTTCAACCTTTGAGACCCTGGAGAGGACTCACTTGCCATGTTCCTGTGACCTTCGTAAGTACCAGAAATCCTCACGAGAAGCCCCCAGGACAGCAGCCCCTGTGACTGATGCCTACCGCTTATTCCATTTTCTTCTGTTCTCAGTGAAGACAGCAAGACCTGTCAGCAAGACTAGTTCTAAATCCTTTGTACTAAATTCTTATACTGAAGGGATCAGTCTAGAAAAACCAGTATTGCAAGAACAGAGGTGGCCACGATGAGCACATGCCAGGCTCACATGTGGCAGCGCTCCTTTACCCAATAGGCTTCTTTCTGGAATCTGACTCCACATCTGTCTGCCTGCTCCAGCCCTCCTGGATCTCATTAGAACTGCTGCTATTTGTTTGCAAAGCATGCTGCCTCCTGGCCTTTGTCCACATGGTCTCTGACAGGCCTCCAAGCACTTCTCGTGGTTCCACACACTCTGTAACTAGAAGGCCCAGGCAGATGACAGCCTCTACTGACAGTCTGCAGGGGACATGCCTGCACTGATTTCCCTCGAAGCCTGAGGACTTGCTTTAGGGCTCAGAACCGAACAATAAGCAGACAGGCAGCAGGCACCTGAGGAGCTGGCTCCTGCCTCCACATATGTGCATCGACTGAAAACTGGGAAACACCCTCCCAACCCTGGCATCGCTTGTCCTGCATCATCAAGATAAATCGTGGGCCAGCCTCCAGGCAGCCAAGCCTGATGGTCACCCATCTCCTCGGGACCCCTCTTAAGGCCCTCCAAAATCCAGCCTGGTGCCAGGTGTGTGTCTCCTGAGCTCTCACTGCCCTGCGTTCTCTCTCCATCCCTCCTGCACCTGGCTTAGTTTAGAATATTCCCTCTCCCTGGGGCTCCTACATGGCCTTTCTGCCTGCAGGGTCCCCCTCCTGACATCTAATAATACCCACTGACTACTCTGGAATCCTGAACTGGCACTTGAATAAAACCCAAAGCCACAAAAATACCCAAACTTGTTAAAATCTATTAATTCCACTCCTAGGACTCCATCCTAAATAAATTTTAGATTCAGAAAGTGGTGTATGCTACCCAAAATATTCAGTAACAGCATTACTTACACTCAACCTCAGGAGAATGGTTAAGCTGCGATGGCATGTTAACTTAATGCAGTATTATGCGCACAACAACAATGGCACTGATGGAGAATCTTACAGATAGAATTGAGTTTGTCTACTACTGGATCTAGGAAATATGGCATCAGATTTAGAGCATGCATCTGAATTTTAAAACTATGTGGGGAAAGGGCAGTCATCTTCAAAAAAGTGAAACTTGAGATATAAGAAGAGATCCATTTTTCTGCCATTTGGGAAAGGTATGAAATCACACATTAAGACACTACTGACAGAGAAAACAAATAGTAGTTTTTAGTATAGTCCCAAGTCAAATGTTACCAGGGCAGATGCTTTGAAATACAAGTACTGATTATGAGAAGATCTCTTCCTGTGTGGACACTTCTAGGTAGCATGCTCCTGAGTGACCACATGGAATTATTTGCTACTGATGATTTAGGACTCTTCTCAACAATGGGGGGAGGAAGAAACAATACAGAACATCCTAAATCTTCATGATATTATGTTAAAGTAAGCTGGCTACAAATCTGAAGATGCAACACAATTTAAGTAACATTAAAACAAAAGTATAGCAAATAATTCTAGAAGAAACCACAATCAACTCTCTATAATCAAGAGGAATAAGAAAACCATGGATAACCCTAAATCACAGTTATAACTTGTCAAAAGAAAAAGGGATTTAATACGAGCCATTCATTTATTTAGATGCAATACTTAGGAACACATTTTTAAGTGGCTTCTAGAGGTATAAAAGACGTTTATGAGCACTAAGTAGCAGTGCATGGTTGACCCGAGATGGCCTCCACATTATACATGCTAAAATAAAGCCCAGCTGTCTCCTAGCTTGCACCCTGCCCCACCTCCAGGGCTCCTCCCTTCCAGCCAGCAGAGACTCTGGGTGACTCCCAATTCCACAGGGAGAGAGCACGGAGGCCAGAGGGCTTGGCAAGCACACTGCAGCAAACAGGCTAAGCGTGCGGATTCCAGCAACCACCAGCGAGGTCCTCCATGTCTTCACTCATCTCTAACAATGTCATTTCTTTCCATCTATGCATCACCTACTTCCATTTTTCGCCAGGGTTAGATTGCAAATAGTTATTTCAGAGATGACCAAACACCAGAAAAACTGGGCTCAGGCTTGGGTGGCAGTTTACAGAGTACACATGTACTGCTTTTGAGGACAAAAAAGGGCAATTGATTTACAAGAGAATACTGACACTGGCCTCCTGGTGTCTGCAGGAAGTCATTTCAGTTACCAGGCAGGTCGATGTCTCCAGCCTCACCTCCTACCACATTCTTGACGGCAATCTACAATCCATACACAAAAGTCTCCTTTCCCAGCATCCTGTTCTTTGAGCACAATGGACTTGGTCTGAACATCCTTCCTCTCATCTTCGAGGATTGAAAAGCCCGCTGCCTGTGAAGCCATCCTCATCTCCTTCTGACATTCCCTCACTGGGCTCCCCTGGATTCCCAGCTTACCTGTCAGAGCATGTGACACTCAGTACTGCAACTACTCATTAAAAATGTAAATTATTTAGCACAGCACCAGGCACAACTACCACCCAATAGTTGACTGACTGAATGAATGAAAAGGACATGAAACAGCAACAATGTCTATCCAAGTCCAATCCATTTGGAACCTTATAAAGAGAAAATCATAACAACCTTACAAAGAGGAAACAAAAAATAGTTCTTCAGCCAAGATCCTGCTCTAGTTTGAAACCAAAGGCTTCTTGGCAGGAGAAAAGAGTTATCTCCCTTGGCACCATCTCCAAAGTTTAGGGACCTCTTAAAACAAACTAAATTTCCCTAAATCAGTATAAAAATGTTAATAATAACAAAGGTTAAGACATATTGGCAATCAGGACTTAGTGCTTAGAGTAAGCATTGAGACTGGCATAAGCCCTGTGAGTGCAAACACACTGGGAACACCTGAGCAGCCCAGACAAATGACAAGGAATCACAGAAACTGGTTCAAAGGTTACTCCGTTAAAGAAGGTTCTAGACATATACAGAAAATGAAGGTTAGGTTCCATTTAGCTCAGTGAGATGAAGATACCAGCGAGGTAGGTGCACTCCACTCCTTCTCCCAGCCCACTCTTCCTCAGGATCGGCATGTACCCGAGATGGAGCTGCTGGGTGCACTTTCATAACTGCTGGAGCAGAACACCAACACCCCCAGGCATCAGGTCTTTATCTGTAATGCAGAAACTGGCAGGGAAATGTCCACAAGCACATGCCAGCAGGAACAGAAGGGAGAACTGGAAAGAAGCTGAAGGAGTGCACACAGCAGGAGACAGAGCAGCACAGCTGGTGAGAGCACCTCCAGAGCATCAGAGCCGCTGGCCCAGAGCCTCACTTAATGGGGGGCAGGGGCCTTACCCCTGAAACCCCACTCCTGATAACCTCAGTACAATACAGAGACAGACATCACCCTGATCTGTACTCTCCAAGCCTTCTGAATCAACAAACCTGGAAAGTCAATAATTTCCAGTTAAGAACTGCTGGGTATGAGCCAAGCAAATGAAAGAACTAGCTTTTGACACAAACCAGAGTAAAAGGTAAAGAAGTAAAAGGCTGATTTAAAAAAAAAAGTGTGGCATTTTCTCACGCTATCTCATCCTTAACCCAGCATGCATTCCCCTGTGTGAGCGTCTTTTCATCTTAAACGCCATCTCCCAATCAGATAAGATCCCTCTGACCTTGATGAGAGCTCCAGGAAGAAGGCCGGCAAAGCCAATGCCTGGAAAGGCCCTGCACGAGGGAGAAAGATGGAGAGGGTGCCCGGGCCATCAGGACAGCACCCGCAGGAACACTGCGAAGCGAGCAGCGACAGCAGAACTGAGCACACAGGCGGGTCCTGAGAGGCAGGCACCAGGGCGGATCAGTGAGTTTACCACAGAGACCAAGAAGACAATGATCAGTGTGGTGTAAGCAGATGAGTTAGAAACATGAATTCAAGTCTAAGCCCTACCAAAATCTGGACATATGAACTTTGATAAATGGGCCTCAGCTTAAAATAAAAGAGGATGGACTAAACACATAAGTTTCTGTCAAGTTCTCAAATCACATGACTCCAGCAAAAGTGGCTGCAGAGATTGGAAGTAGCCCTGGAGGTAACCCATCAAGCACAGGGTACAACCACCAACAGTCACACCAAGACCAGCAGCTCTGTAATCCTGGGGAGGGTGAAAGTCTACTAATTGGTTACTGGCCAGTGGCTGCCAAGGCAACCAGGATGCCTGCGGAAGTCACAGCCACCACTACCATTCAAAAGTGACAGAGCCAGGTCCTCCTCTCCCGTGCTGGAACCGGGCACACCTGAGATTTCAGCTAGAACGTCATACAATGGGGACCATAGGTCCCAGGGGAGTTACCCATCCTATGTTTCATGTTCTGGATTTAACAAGGTGGGAAGTCTGAGGAATTCTGAGAGGATGTCCATTTAAAGAAAGACAGTGTTTGACCTGTAAATGTATCTGAGTTCAATATTTGCTCAGAAATTTTTGGCTCAGGAAAGCTAATTCTCTGCAGATCATGGAGTTTTTACTGTGTACAGGCCACTGAAAAGAGCAGACTTCAGGAAATGGAAGTTAAATCAGAGATACAGGAGCAGAGTCCCTAGGATTTTCAGTCTATACTAAAAGGTTTAACAAAATTGAAGGGCAACAGGGAAGAAAATACAGGAAAAACTAGGAGAACATAACATCACAAGTAAAAGCAGCTGGGAGAAAGGATTACGATTTTGTCTTAAATTGATAAGGAGCCTCCCAGAATAAGGATCCTAATTAAGAACTGAAAATAATATGTTAGGAAGAATCTGTAGCAATCACTAAATGCACTGCTCTTTCCTGATTCCGCTCTTACATTTCTAAGGACTCTCTCTGTTTCTCTTGTGGGAAATGAGAAATGTCCCTTAAAAGTTGTAGAGTTCTGTCCAAGGCCTTTCCAGAGGCCACTCCACTTGGGTTTCAATCTCACCTGCGCACAGCTTCCCGACCCCTCCCCCACCCCCCGCAGACTCTCCCCTCCACACCTCACCACCGTGGTCCTCCTGTCCCTCCACATCCACCTTCAAACACATACCACCACCAAACATACAATGTCTAAGCTAAAACACAAACACCACAGTAATTGTGGGCTGAGTAAATAAAGGGTATCAAATGATGCAGCAGGAGAAAGAAAAAAGTTTATAATCAAGGTTGGTGATGGAGTTTAGATGTGTTGTCCCCACCAAAACTCATGTGGAAATCTGAACCCCAATGTGGCAGTGTTGGGAGTTGAGTCATGGGGGCAGAACCCTCATGAATGGATTAATGCTGTCCCTAGGTGAGGGGATTAATGAGTGAGTTCTCGCTCTATTAGTTCCCGTGAGAGCTGGTTGTTTAAAAGACCCTGGCACCACCACCTCTCTCTCTCTCTCTCTCTCTTGCTTCCTCTCTCGCCATGTGATCTGCTTGTACCTGCCGGCTGCCTGCCACTTTCCACCATGAGTAGAAGCAGCCTGAGGCCCGTGCCAGATGCAGCTGTCCCAGAATCATGAACCAATAAACCTCTGTCCTTTATAAATTACCCAGTTTCAGGTATTTCTGTTATAGTGACACAAACAGACTAAAACAGTTGAAGAATTACATTTACAACCTACTTCACATTACCCACTTCATTCCAATTAGAAAAGCTATATAAGATTAATGAACAAAGGCAGAAACCCCCCAGACCCAGTGCACGTACAGCACAGGCCCTTACCTTGGAGTCGTAGGCTGACTGTTTGATGACCTCGGGTGCCATCCAGAAAGGAGTGCCCACGAAGGTGTTCCTTTTTATCTGGGTATCTGTCAGCTGGCCCGCTACTCCAAAATCAGCCAGCTTCACCTCTCCATGTTCAGAGAGCAGAACGTTGGCAGCTGCAAAAGAAAGCGAAGCATGCCACCTGACATCGTCACCATACCGCCCTCACCACTGTCATTCTGGAAGAGTGCGTTCTCTCCCAACTAGACCACGTGCCCAAGAAGAGGCATGAAGGTCTACGCTTTTTGTCAGACCCCCTCCAAGCCAGGCAAGTTGAAGGTGCAGGACAACCCCCCTTAAGAAGACAAGTGCCGTTTAACTCTACCACGCCAGGAATCTTAAAGGAATAAAAACAAGATGTGCTCTTACCTTTAATATCTCTGTGGATTTTCTTCTCTGAATGTAGATAATCAAGTCCTTTCAGTATTTCTCTTAATATAGTAGCAATCTGAGTTTCATCTAAAGGACCAGGTTCTAACTAACAAGAAAAATAAATTATTAAAGTTACTTAAATAGTTAACTTATATGTAGTTTGAGAGAATAAATCAGAGACAATATCCATGTTAAATGGACAGGAATAATTAAAATCAAAAAAGTCCTTCACTTAAAACTGATATATATATATATTTTTTTAATTTTTATTTTGTCGATATACAATGTGGTTGATTATTGTGGCCCATCACCGAAACCTCCCTCCCTCCACCCTCTCCTCCCTCCCACCCAACAATGTCCTTTCTGTTTGCTTGTTGTACCAACTTCAAGGAGTTGTAGTTGTTTTATCTTCTCCCCACCTCGTTTTTTTTTTTTGTGTGTGTGTGTGTGTGTGTGTGTGTGAATTTATTTATTTATTTTTAGCTCCCACCAATAAGTGAGAACATGTGATATTTCTCTTTCTGTGCCTGACTCGTTTCACTTAATATAATTCTCTCAAGGTCCATCCATGTTGTTGCAAATGGCAGTATTTCATTCGTTAAAACTGATATTTTGACCAAACAAAACGAATCTATCAAAGGACCAAGGAAAAAAACAAAGAAACAGAGAAAGTAACTTTCCTGAATGAAGCAAAGCCAGCTGGGAATCAAAGTCATGCCAAGGAGAAGCCCCTGGTGGGCTCTACCCGTGGCCTGCAAGCTGACCTGCAAGGCCCCTCTGGCCATGGCAGGATGGGGCACAGCAGGGTCCCTGTGGAAGATTTCAGTCCAGGAAACAAAAAGCCCTCACCATGCGTGCTAGGACAAAGAGCACCCAGATGTGTCCTAATGTCTTTGGTTATCTTACTAGATACCCCTGGTAACTAAATCCACAAGTGGTCAAAGAGCATATTCCCATTTAAAAAGAAAAGCACAAATTAGGTTGAGAGTTCAATTCGGAGAGTAAGTCCGCCAGGGGATTCACTCATACTAATAATCACATAAATTACATCAGCAAAACAACCTAACAGTCCCTAAAAGACTAATAACAGAAGCATCGAAAGAGGGGCCGAGTCTAATAATGTAGACCAGTTTCTCCGGAGTGATGGTGCTCCGTATCACGCTTGCAGACGGGACAGTGGATGCCATCATAACCCTACTTCACACCCTTAGCCAACAGGAAGGCACGACCCTGTCACGTTCACCAAAGGCAGCTAAGATACTCCTCTGACTGGTGTTCTCCCATTTCTTGGGCAGATCCTGACGGTTCTCCTTGTGTGTCTCGGTGCCTTCAGTGGGATGCCCTGCTTGACATCCCGAGGCTTGGGGACCAGCACTGCTTCTGGTTCATCCGAGCAGGCTTCCTGCCCATCACAGGCTACCCGGGCCTCACTACAACACCCAGAGCGGGGGCCCTTCCCAGGCCACCTTTCCCAACACTCGGCCTTTCCAGGTCACGGGTAGGACGCACTGGGCAGGACATGAAAGGACATGTGGGCCACGCCGCACCCCAACTCTCCCCCACTCTCTGCACACACAGATGCCAGAGCAGGCTCTGCTCACTTTTGGTTTGACCTCATATTCTATCCTCAGATAACCAAATTGCTTGGGCCCACCAGCCTGCCAGGAATTATCCCAAATTCTAATTAAGATGTTGTCCAAAAATTACCTCAGACTAAAACAGTATGATGCACACTCTATTCCACAGAACCTAACTTTTCCCAGGTCATTTGACCAAGAGTCTTATTTTTCAAGAAACACGCACTAAACCACTGATCCCAAGAACACAGTTTGCAACACCCTGCCTCCTGTTAAGTCTGCTCTCTCCATATCTGCTTCTCAGTGTTCACAGAATATAGACATTATAGTGTTCAAAATGAGGAACACACTCTTCTCCCATCACCGGGGGACAGGGGAGGAGGACAGATGCCGGAGTGCACTCTGGTGACAGCACAGCATGGAGTCACCAGCGGTCCGGGCCTCGCTGCAGCACGTGGGGCCATTTCCTCCTCCGCAAGTCTCTCCCCAAGCAGATCATCAGTCACGTTTGGCGAGACTTGGCCTTAACCACCCCCCCCCTTCCATTATCCTCCCTTCCATTACCAACTCTCTGGAAAGAAACAGCAGAGCAGCCTGGTGTCATTACCAACGGGAGATAAGAAAAAAAGAAAAAAAGAACTGAGGAAAATGAATTGGAAATCTTCCCCTGGATAATTAAGAGCTGGCTCTGTGATTGATACAAGCCTGGTTATGCCCTTCTAAATCTGGCCGGAACACCATCCACCACTAATTTATATGCCTGTGGAGGACACTGGGCAGGGGAGAAAAGAGACAGACTCTATTTACTTGGGGGAAACTCTGGGCATCAAAATTCACGATGGAAGAATGCTCTCCCCCACCCCACAGAGCTCATTTGTGGGTCAGACCAGGCTGAGCCAAGTCCTCTGAGGCATAGACAAGCACTCCCATCACTGCCATTTCTAGCAGCACTAAGAGGTATAAGAAGAAAACTGCAAGAAAATAATGTAGACTACCTCCCACCTATAGGTAACTTCTAACTTCCCCTCACCATGTCCTTTGTGGACTATCAATAGGGCACATGGCTGCCCAAAGAGACCACACTTGCAGGCTCTGCAGCAGCAAGCTGTGGCCGTATGACTAAGCTCTCGCCAGTGGAACGCAAGAAGACGTGACACATGCCCCTCCTGGTCATGGTAGCTGGAGAGGACAGTGGCTCGAGACCGCGTGCAGGAAGTGGCAGTACAGACGGTAGAGCCCTCCACCGAGGCAGTCCCTGACGACCACGTGGAGCAGAGCCCACTGCCCTACACGTGGAGGAGAAAGCCCTTTCTATCTTGCCTGAGCCTGTCCTGGGGCCGCTATGACAGCAGCTTGGCCTAGGAGTTAATGAATATGCCATCTCATTTCTTTAAAATTATGTGGTGTATTCACTTTTAAGTTTATCAATCAACTCTATCTAGGTAGTATAGTTTCTTCTTAATTAGACTCCAAGGCTGTCCCCCTGGATTCTCCAATAACACTGATTTTCAATCAGCTGAAGCCTTTCGGTCCCAGGCCCTCTGTTGCTAACCCTCACCCCAACTCTCCCAGTTCACCTGGCCCTGCTGTTTTCTCTCAGCACCTCCCAAAGTGCCATGAGAAGGCTATTTTCCCCATGAGTGGGACGTTCTCCTGTTGGGTCCTTGGCAGTAACCTCCACTGGCTAGCACAGTGCCTGACACACAGTGGCACACAAGCATCTTCCAATTGAAAAATGGCTTCACACACTAAGTTACAAAAATCTACTGCACTGTAAGTTATAATGTCCTGAGCTGCCTGATACTTATTATGCTCTCCTAAGTGGCACCCTAGAGGCAGCTGGAACTTGAGAGATTATTGACACAAGTGGGTTTCAAACTATATTCCAAAGAACCCAGTGTTTCCTCAGTGTGGCCTTGGGGATCCTACAAACATTTACAGTTATTATTTGATTTTCTTAAAAACAAAAACCAAAAAACAGGTTGAGCACACTCAAATATATGCATTCAAAATAATAATGCACCTATTTTATATTCATGGTTCTTACTAAGCTATGTTGTCTCTCTATTCTTCACGATAGATCCCAAATGTGCATTTTTTGCAAGTCAAAAAGGATGCAGGACCATCAAAGAGGGGGAGAGAGCTCCTAAGGGACACCTCCCCTCTACCAGCATCGTTCACCTTCTGCCAGTGAGGGGCAAGAGAACTGGGTGGTCCATCCACGGGACACCATCTCAACAATTCACAGAAGTAGACCTGGGTTAGTCCCAAACTTGAAGGAACAGAGCCCTTTCGCTGCGTCGTTCATTTTGTCTGATACTCGTGGCCCAGGATTTATTTATATGCCGTGTTGTAGTAGAAAAAGATTAGGATTCTCAACTTGGTCTTGAGGCCAACTGATCTTTAACCTGGGGCAAAGTCACTTCCCTCTCTAGGTGCCACCTCAGAACCTGTGAACTGGAAAGGGGATCACATTCTCAGTTCTCCTCAGCTCTGAAGCTAGTCGCTAGCACCTCGACAGGGCTTGGTGGAGTGGATGTGAGAAAGAAAGGCCTGGCACCAAGAAGATTTCCCCACCCAGCTCAAAAAACACCCCCAACTGGGGGAACATGCCGGCAATCTACATCTCTGCCCCACGCCCCAGCCTGGAGCTTCCACTAGGAACCTCAATTCTAGAGTTAAAAGTAAGCCCCCAAAATTCACTATCAGACATACTCAAAAGGCAATCCTGGGTGAAGGAGGGTGGCCACCTGCCTGTCCCAGGCTAAGGTGTCACTGGGATGCAATGGGAGGAATTAAACTAATGTCTCCTAGCCTGAGTAACATGGTCTGATAACGATGTAGAGTGAGAAAGGCAGAACAGAAAACCTCACGACGCTGTAATTCAAACTGTATAAAACACACACGCTCAGGGCCGAGAACAGGGAGGCCTGTAGAAAGTGAGCTGTGGATCTCTGAGCAGACTGAAACCCTGCGAATCTTCATTCCTGAGTGCATGAGAAGAGATGAATCTAGAGAGAAGACGGTGAAGAAAGGGCCAGCGACAGCCTCATGCTCTGGAGAACCACAGTACGTGCTCCCTGAACAAGACCCACAGTCACCTTTCCCCCCACAGGCCCTCACGCATGGTGCCCCCTACAAAGTCACACACAAACTATCAGCACAGTGCCTGTCAACAGAGACAGTATACAAAAGCAAGTTGGAAGCTCACAATGAAATGGCCCTCAAATCCATTTATTCAGCTATATGGTATCAAATTTTATGCTCGACAATATTTTGGTTTTTAACACCTTTTATAAACATGTAACAGACCCTCTCAAAATAAGCCTAATAGTATTCAACATTCAACATACCCCATAATTAAAATATGTCCTCTTTTGTAAGGGATTGGGGTGAGCAAATAGGAAAGGGATAGAAGATGGAGGTGGGGGCCAGCACGGGGCCAAGCCTGGCTCTGCTGCTAACTGGGATGCCTGGTCTTGGGTAGCCCCCAGGACTAGGGACATCCCAAAAGGCATGCTTGTTTCTTGTCACCAGAGCTATTTATATGCAAGGTGTACGGTGGTTTGCTGGGATTCTCACACTATACGGGACTTTTTTTTTTTTAAGTGGAGTGTTCTATGCTTCCTTCCAACTGTAATGTCTAAAATTCCACAGACTTTAATTCAAAGCTCCAAAGAAAATTACCACCAAATAAATTAAATTACTGTATCATTAAGAATGAATACACTAAAGCATTTAGAGACTAAAATTGCTGCTTTGAAGGACTAAATGTTGGGAGGGGAAAAAAGTCCCTGCAAAGAACTTTATATATGCCACAAATGAAATTCACTTAAGATAACTGTGAATCTAATTATACAAAATGAGGTAATTTTGTACATTCCTGAAGTATTTCCCAAAAGAATGAAAAAATGAAAAGCTTTTTGTGTAATGTGTACATTCAGAGAAAAGAATCAAAGCAAGTCATAAAATTATCCAGCTGTTTTATTGTACTTTTGTTTTAATATAATTGTTTATACCATATTAAATTTTTCTTGAAATCTTCCTTTTTAACACCATTTTGATCAACTGATTTTACAGTTTCTAACAGTATGTAATTTGCTAAATTAGGTACATTAGCCTTCTATGGATATATATAGTTTTAGAAGTTCACCTTCTAAAAAAACTACCAATTGCTCCTATTACTGGGAGAAACAAATTTTCTCTTGAGGGGGGTTTCTTTCCTTACTGAATAAAATCTGTGTAGGCTACAACTACTAACAAACACGGCTTCCTTCGGCTCTTGCTGGCCAGCAGTGAAAACCACAGACCCATTATCCTGACAACTTTCTATGTGGCGAAACCCCCTCCAATGCTACAACAAGATCCTGCTTGTCTTTGCAATCAACAGTTGTCCAGTTCTTTAGGAGGGTTAGCATAAAGTGCTGAATACACTGATTTTACTGCATAACCACAGTGGGAGTGAGATGCTGAGTGTCAAAGAACTGTGTGAATTCTTTAAACTTTTTTTTTTTTTTTTTTTTTTTGCATATACTGTGTTTTAGGGACTCCTTAAGCCATGCCTATGATATACGGGTCACTTGTGAGCATTCCATCACAGCCCAACAGGAAATGAGGTTTACACAAGCAAAAGGCACACTGCCTTTAAAGCCGCCCTCCATCCAGCTTCCACTATATTCTGTGTGGACAGGTGACCGTGAATGGCACTCAAGGGAGAGTCCAGAGAAGGAGACGATGCTGGTGCCGGCCAGCTCCAGCACAAACGCGGCCTGAGCATCAGCAAGCGGCCACATGGAGGCGTGTACTCGTCGGCCTGTCCACTGTCCCGACATCTGACATCAGACCTCAGTAAACACAAATCAAAAATATATACTTACTTTGGAAGCTAAGTTAAAATCTGAATTATGAGACAATGTTGGGGTATCAATTCTACAAAAGTTAACAGAAACAGTTTGGAAAATAAGCTAACAAACTGTTCTCAGGTAAGATAATTCCAGGCAGAATCCTTCCCTGCATAATACTTACTAGATCTAGTGCAGAGCCTCCACCAAGATATTCCATTATTATCCACAATTTAGTGTCCTGCAAAAACAAAAAAGGAGGGAATTATTTTTAAAACAAATAAAAACATTAAAAAAAATTATTTTAACTAATCGAAGAATACGTTTTGCTATTATTTTGGAACTAGAAACTTTTATAGACATGATCAGCAAGGAAAGCACATGAATGTGAGCTCTGTGCAGCAAAGCCCAACGTGCAGTGAAACTCTGCTCCCACCCCGGAGGGAGCTGGGGAGGTCGCTCAGGGGCCCTGCAGCAGACTCCTCTAGCGGGCGTGTCCCAGACCTTCTGACCCAGAATCTCGGAAGGACAACCAAGAGCATTTCCAACACCCCCAAACACTTCTGTGCTCTCCCCTTCAGGGCACTTTCCAGAACAGCAGGCCCCGGCCTAACACTTGTGCTGTCTTTTCAGCCCTGCTCGCCACAGTGCCCAACTGTGTCTGTTTCCGTCGTCTCTTCTGAAGATCCTCAGCCGTATAACTTCCAACACAAATCCCAAAGTGCTAACTCCTTTGAAAACAAACCAGCAAACATCCCCACCTGCTTCTTCGAGGGAGGTAGTTGGTGGGGTGCTCGGGAACACTAGGGCTTGTGGATGAGCCAGCCAGGGTTTGGACCCTGGCTCCCCCTTTACAACCTGAGGGCCCCGAAGTTGGAGTGCTGAGCAAAGTGCCTGACCCACAGCAGGCAACCAAGAAATGATGGCCATGTGTATATCCCGTCACAGTGCTGGTGGGGTCATGGGTGCGCTGACACTGGCATGTGTAACTACATACTCTATACTCTATGGTAGCATCTGTATGCATCAAAAGAAAAAAAAAGCAAAACAAACTTCCGAGGCTCTTTGGTCCCTTCAGGACAGATACCGAGGAAGCCCCTGTGCAGTTCTCACACACTGACACTGAGCGACCTTGCTCTTCTGGAGTGTGTCTCCATTTCCCAGGCTTTCTGCTTCTGCAGTTTCCTCAAGTCAGGAAAATGCTTCACCTGCTTTCCTTTCCCATGCCCTAGCAAACTTTATTTTAGCATCTAGTGGTCTGATTTTTATCTCAGATTTTCTTCTCTGTATTTTTCACCTATAACAGCAAACTAAAGTGCCCAGGGACAGCACCCCACATGTTAAGCAAATGTTAACTCTGGTCCTCTGTAACCAAGGAAAGGTAGCTTATGTCAACTGTATCTTCCACTTAGGGAGACACTGAAGCATGTGCTGAATGTGTAAAATAAATTCCTCTGAAAACAAACGAATTTCTGCCACCTGGAGTTAATTCTAAGATAGTCCAAATAAACAGTTCAAGTTTTAATGTACGTAAAACACCTTCTCCGGCTTGTAAACACCCTTGATTACTAACATAACAAAGGCAGTCCTGGTCTAGGTTTGAAAAGGCACTGAAGCCTTGAATGATGTTTGAGATCCACCTCATAGGTATAAAATGTTGCTCATTCAGTAACCATGTCAGAACCACTATGGGTGCCTCCTTGCAAAGACTCACTTATCCCCTGGTTCTGAAGGAAACTTCCTATCACAAAGAGCATCCTTCAGCCTTCCTTTCCTTTCCCAGACATGCTCAGGTGCAGATTTCCTAATACCTGCTCACTGGTGAGTGTGTGTGCTGCTCCTCCCAGGCATGCCAAAAGCATCTCATCTGCTGGGTAGGAACAGACTATTCCAGAGAAACACCAGTATCTTTCTGAATGACACGGGAAAAGTAAGTTGTCTTCTCCCAAGGGGCCTTGGAACTTTCACATTTCTACTCCCACTCCCTTTCCAGTGGCTGCTGTTTGACTCAGCTCCTTTTATTTTCTGGGAAGTAAGCTTGTTCCCAGCAAGATAAAGCTCAGACAGGGAGGCCCCCTCCCCTGTCTCCTCTCTCCGTGGCAGCTAGCTGTGCGATAGGACACCCTGGGAAATGGTCTTTTGCTGACTTAGGGGACTGAGTATCCTGAAACAGCAAGATACAAGTGACCATACCCTCATCCACTGTCATTACAAAGCCCCACCCTCCTCCAGTTCGCTGTGCTCTTCAGAAATCTACCTAGCAAGGCAGGTAACTACCTACCTACCAAGGAAACAAGATGACCTTTAACCGCACTGCTGCTTCCTTCTAAGGGAGTCCTAACAAGATGCAGTGACCCATTTTCCTGGGGCGTGTAAGCAGGAGCAGAACAACTAAATGCTTTCTGGCTCAAAGGCTAATAATGCCCTATCATCTCTCACGATGAAGGCTTCCCTCCTGGGAGGAAGATGAGAAAGGCCAGCCTGCCCACTGCTACCCAGCTTGCTCCTTGTTGCAGACACACTGGGGTGGCAACATTGCTGCCAGTCCCAGGGTGCTGCTCCTGACATACCTTGGCCAGGCCCCATGACTAGCCTACTGCTTGATTTGTGTCCCCGGAGCCACCAGCAGCAACAGCCTGGGACTGGAAACACTATCTCTGTGGATTCCACCATCAGCTAAACTTGCTTTTCAGCCTGCTGTATGTGCAATCATCCTAGACACTGAAAGGCGGCCCAGCCCGGGAAACTGGACAAAGCCCTCTGGACATAGGAGCGAAGCAGGGACAGCGGCTTCGCCACTGCCTGGAGCCCCTGCTCTCCCCACCAAGTCCCAACTCGCACACTCTGCTCTGCCCATGTGCCATGGCCATCAACCACGAAAGAACAACAGCTGGCAACGAACAACTAATAAGTGAAGGACCACGGTCTCCTCCTTCCTCCCTCACATGGAAATAGGGGGAAGAGCGAGGCAGCTGGGGCAGGGGGTCACAAGCAAACATCCCTGCCTCAGAGGGCACATCCTATCCTCCTGCAGAGAACACTGGTGCTGCCACTCACCCCCACCTCCTAGTGCCCACAGTGACCCAACCACTACTGAGAAGCAGGCCCTCAGGGCTTTCCTTCCCCGCGCCAATCCATCGCTCTGTACGCTGTGATTCTCTGCTCCTTCTGGTCTGTGTCCCAAGGTCTGGGCTGAAGCTGTGGGCCCTGCTTTTTTCCTCCCCTTCCTACCAGAATTCCTGAACCATAAGCCAGCTGCTGGGTGCAAAGAGTAAAGCATGGCCACCTCGCTGTTCAGATTAGCACAGGGATGCTGTGGACATTAGGGAAAGCAGGGACAGAGCAAAGGGCAGACCTTAGTCCCTTCTGGTGCTGACACACACTGAAGCACTGCACCTCAAAGGCAGGACAGATACACATTCAACACACACACCAGCTAAGGTCCCTGAAACCTGCCATCAGTCATGAACCCAAATAATCACTGCTACCACCAGCAGCCCTCAAATTCCGTGTTCAGAAGGGAGTTCGCGGACACGCCAGGAAGCGAGGACGGACTCTGAGGCTGCAGGCGGGGGCTGCCCGTGCACTGCAGGGTGTTTAGGAGCATCCCTGGCTTTACACATGCCCCAGTTCCCATAACCGAAAATGTCTCTAAACATTGCCAATGTCCCCTGGGGGTCAAAATCACCTCCAGTTGAGAACCACTGAACTCCATGGATCAGCATCAACAAGCCTCAAGTGGTTACTAGACCAGAAGCGCCATCCAGTGATGATCTCCGTATTCTCAGCAAAGACAGTCTTACACAAACGCTGAAACTCCAGCTGGAAGACCACCACTAACCCACCGGGAGACCTCAGGCGAGTCACTAAAAGCCCATAAGCTCTGGATTCCTCGTCTATAAAAACAGGGTAATGAGACCTGTGCTTTGAACCTCACAGTTCAAGAGACAATAAAACGAGATAATGAATGTGAAAGCACTTTGCAAAGTTCACGGAACTAAACAAATGCAAAGTGTTATTAGCTTTATCAACAGCATCCCCCATAAATGCCTTGAAATAACCTAGTAAACGAAAATAACCCAATGAATGACACTAGATAGTTTGAGCAAAATGAAATCTGGAGCAATGACTCCCCCGCATTCCTCGCCGGAAGCCCTAAGGCAGGAGGATCTGAGGAGGAAGGCCAGGCCAGGCCTGTTCTTAGGGAAGGACCAGGCACTGTCACTGCCCACATGAAATATCACTCACTGCCCCCACAAAACCTTCCAAATCGTGACTGGCGAGGCATTCATTCCCCATAAAAATAAACCAGCAGGCTTCAAAACAAAAAGGAATTTAGTCAGAATAATTTCATTCTTTAAATAACCTCAAACAGTGCAAGTTACAAATGACCTTGTTATATAATTTTCTCATAAGGGAAATAAAATATTTATTCAATAAATAAATTCAGGAGTCAAAATTTAAAAGGTGCCAGAGCGTATACAGTGAGAAGTTTCCCTCCCACCCTTGGCACCCAATTTCTTAGCCACCCCAAGTTATCATCATGTCCTAAGTAACAATCGGAGAAATGTTTTATGTATATACAAAGCAAATACCTATAAAATCTTTCCTTCCTTTTACCCAAATGGCAGCATTCCACACACACTGTTACACACCCTGCTTCTGACTTGAACTTTCTTTTTTTTTTTTTCCTTTTTGTTTTTTTTTCGTGACCGGCAACGGATTGCAACCCTCAGTGTCGCGCCCGTACCGGACCGGGACCGGCAACGGGATCGCAACCCTCGGTGTTGCTCCCGCACCTCGCTCAGCCAGTGAGCGGCCGGTCTGTATGTGGGATCCGAACCCTCGGCGGGAGCGCCGCCGCGCTTCCCAAGCGGCGCACTGTAGCAGTGCGCCACCGGGCCGGCCCTGACTTGAACTTTCTTAGAGAGCATCCATGTCCATCCATTAAGGACGTCCTCAACCATTTTTTTTTTTTTTTTTTTTTTTTTAAAACCATAACAAGCCTACATCCTCTTGTCAACATTAGGTTGTTTCCATTCTTCTACTATCGTGAGCCACAGGTCAACGAAGAACCTCACACCTGGGCCATTTTGCCAGGTTCCAGAAGTAGAACTGCTGGGTCAAGAGATCCACTTGAATTTTAACATATACTGACAAGTTACTCCCCAAAGAGGGTGCCCCATCCTGCCTCCAGCAATGACAAGAGTGCTAATTTCCCCTCTGCTTTGCCAACACCAT